CGTACGTGAGTGTCTACCAGAACCGTCTTTTTTATTTTCTTTATCTTTTTTTTTCTAGTTCGACCTGCGTCATTGAGATTGACAGCTGCTGCCGGTCTGTTGGTGCAAAAAGGGACAAGGCTGAAGGATCATGGTGGTGTCCAAGAACGTACAAGATCGACAGTGTCGAGGGACCGCAACACACCCCAGGAAATGCGACGTAGAGGAGGCCGAGAGGGAGGAAAAGTGAGGGGGAATGAGTACATTTTATCAAACCAAAATGCAGTAAAAAACGACATGAATTCTATAGGCAAAATTGTTTGTGAATCCTTACGACATAGAAATGTCCTCCTTCATTTCCGTCGCTGTTTCTGAAGAATCACAAAAATGTGCAGAGCCTTGCATAACATGATCGTCCCGCGTCCCCGCTGTCCTCTCCTTTTGTTCGGAAATTTTGTGCCCGTGCTCTGTGTCTCTTGTGTTGCCCTTGCCCGCCCAGTTTGGACAAGATCGTCAAACCTTACTTCACCCAGTTCATTCCGACCTGGTTGTTGATATTTTGTGTGTGTGTGTGTGTGCACCCCTTTTCTTTGTTGTCAAGTTCTTTGTCTTTCGGGCCCTTTGGATGTTCTGCCTTTCCGCTGTCCGCCCATCCCTTACAGGTACGACGCACGGTGGACGCCAACTGAAAACTCAAAATGACACACCCTCTTTGGCAAATGTGATGCAACCCATTTTGTAAGTCGGTCGCCAGACATGGCCAAATATGCTTACACGACAGCCAGAACGCCACACTATTAGACGTGTCGGTAAACTGTCCGTGCAAGTGCCAGTGTATCCGTCCCAGTACTTCGCGTGGAAGGAGACGGAGGTATGAAAAATACAAAAAGGAAAGACTTGTACATGTACAACAAAGCAAATTGACAAACATTCGTAATGCTGTCATCTGAACATTGTTACGCAAGGTATCGCTGTGTTCATAATTTTGGTTCTCACGAAATTATCGTTTTCTTTTTGGGTTCCTATGTTTATATGGACTGAGGCCAAATACAAGCCCCTGGGATGTCATTAAATGCCATTGAATGTCATTGGATACCATTCAAGTGAACAGTAAAGACCAAAACCATCCAAGGCACCAATGGAAATATCCTGGCCGGATACGGTATACAGCCTAATGACCGTCCAAGTCTCGCCAAGTCAAATCCACCGACTCTGATAGAACAGAGATGAAAGAGCAGAGGGCGAGAGACGACGTCCGTAGAGTTATTTTGCCAGGGATTATTTACAACGACGCAACGTATCTCAATTTGATACGGGGCATCCCTTGACACAGTTACAGTCATAACCTTGTCACGCCAAACAGCACTTATTGCCCATATCTGGATAACAACCCCCCCCTTCGACACTCTAGCCGGCCGCAAAAGTCCAAACTCTGATCAATATGACCCAGAGAACCAACAGAAGCACCAAAAAGCCGTTGGAGAGGGGAAAGGAGAGGTGGCCGTATATCCTGACGGGGACGTTGTACCTTATTTTATGCTTTACATTATTTTTTTTTCTTGAAAGGCATGAGTGGTGCGAGTTTTATCACGAATATGGGGTGTGTGGCTGAAACATCACCACGTCGTCAATGTCCATTCTTTGCCTCCCTGTAACATATTTTGTTATTGTGTTGCTATGATGCAGAATCGCGTAGACCTAGAGAATGGGACGAGGCGTCCGTATACGCGTACCAAGAGGCGCCAAGAACATGATGTACATGTACCTGCACAGAGTGCCTCGAGCGTTATCTCGCGTTCTTTGTTTCCCCTCATTTACCTGTTTCGGTAGTGCTTTGCAACGGCGTGGGAAGATGTATGCGTGCGTTTAAGTGTTAATGTAGTTTTATCCTTGTCTTACAACACGGCGGCCCCTAATTCTCCATCGATTATACGACATTTAGCACCTTTTAGTCCAACCACGAGCAGAAAGAAAGAATCGTAGCCAATGTGGTAAGCATTGCTTTTCAGAGTTATTTGGGTCTGCATATTTGGATTTTCTTTGACCATGTTCAGAAACAGTCAAGTTCTCCCTTGGAATGGTCCCATGCCAAAAAGACGTTGGATTGCTCACACAGAGATGCAAATATCACGAGGTTGGCGTGGAGAATGGCGTACAAGACTGTTAGTTGTACGAAGAAGAAGGACCCAATCCAGTCTACGAAATATGAGGCTCACCTAGCATGGTTCTTAAGAGAAAGAGACGTTGGTTTCGGAAATACTTGACTCGACGTCATGAAGAGTGCCGAAGTGTCCAGCATCATGACGTGTGAATACTTTGTTATGTCACTCGTCTCTGGCGTACAGCCAAAACGATTGTGCACGGGGACGAGGACGAACCGCGGTCGCCTCCTTGCAAAAATGTAACACGTCACCAGTGACAATACGCAGGTCTGCATCCTGTAATCTATACCTTCGTATGCCAAATTCTGTGGCCTTCTTGTGGACGCCCGTGGCACATGCCATATGCAGGAACAGGGACAAAATAAGCAAGCAAAAGGGGCATGGATGGAAGGGTCCTTGGAGACATGGGTGACTCCCCAGATGACCTCCGTCGGTGACAGTGCCAATGGACGCCACATGAACGGGTGCCTTGCATATCGCGTTACGCATGTCGGCGACCAGTTCTGAGACAGTGAGTTGTTTCGAGAGGAAATAATGGTCCCCATGAGACAGCCAGTGTGTTTGTTACATGACGTTCGTGCTTCGTTCACCCGTGTTGCGTCGCACGTTAATGTTCGCGGAATTGCTTGGTCGTTCTCTGAATGGCTACCTTACTGTCGTATGACGTGGAAGGCGAAGCGCCTGTCCGAGAAAGTGGTGCTGGCAGAAACGATTCCATCGTGGTTATGACGTCTTGCAACAGCCCTTGAGAACAGGCACAGAGTCAAGTTCATAGGACTAGTTATGCCATGTCTTCGTCGTTTATCACGACATGATGCAGGAAGAAGGGCGTTTTTGAATCCTGTTTCCATATACATCCCCGTTTTGACGAATTCTGTGCCTGCATCTGCACTCTTCCTCTATTACACCAACCTATTGCCAACCTTACGGGTTTTTTTAAACTGACGTGTTCTTTGGTGGCTTACTTGTTATTGTCTCCCCTAAATCCTGACTTTGTGAAAGTTGATGTCATCATCTGTCTCTGTCTGTTTTTGTATTTCTCAGTGCTGTTCCGGAAGGCCAAGCACCGGCTACAATAGCATCTCTTACGTTGATTATATCACGTCTTACGAGTTTAATGCTGTTTATAGTGTATTTCTTGACACCAGATTTACAAGTCCACGTCTTACATCTCCGATCGCCAGTTCCATCATGAGGCTCGGAGAAGCCAGACACGGTTGACGAAGCTGAAACCTACGGAATGTCTTGGTGATCAAGAAGAGGATCATCCAAAGAAAAACAAAACATAATATGCAGATATCCCATCGGGGAATACACTGCATTGTCTCGGGGTCTTGTCCATGGTCTATGGTTCCGGGGTGAGAACCATGGAAGAGGCAGCCGGAGAACGAATGAAGAGACGGGCTCCTCTTCCTACAAGCCGCTGACTTCTCCCCTGCTTGCGACCAGAAAACACGCCACGGCAGGGCAGTGAGCCTGTACAACGAGCGTGTCTCTGCTGCAAAGGGCTGTGTCGCTCGGCATACGACGACGACGTCATGAAGCAAGGAAGCAAAGACAAAAAATAGAAACGTGGTCTATTTTAGGTTTTTGTACCACATTTGTCCTACAATTCGTTTCCAATAGGTCCCCAAGTTCCTGGCTCATTAATTTTGCTCTCTGTGCTACGTCGTAAAGCTATCCAGCAGTGCAGACTCTGATTCTGGCAGCTGCAACAGTGCGCCCCTGCGCCTGTTATTTTGTTTGGCCCTGAACAAACATTCGCACCCAGAGACGCGTACCCCTGGGTCGTGCAACCTGCTGTACAAGGGCTCGCCCTCACCAAGTTGTCGTTCATGCAAATTGTCGGAGCTTGGGCCCTGCAGACGGCCGCCGGATGCCTGCGGGACTGGACGCCCGTGGCGTACAACCGCCGTGCGCCACACACCCACCAGAGACATGAGGCAGGCCGCATCCCCCATGTCCCGGCGCCACCAACACGACAGCAAATACGAGTGGCCTCTCCAACATGACGACATCCACTGTGCAAGAGGGCGCAAGACAATCGAGGTCGCCGTTTCAAGGGTGTAGGAGCGGGTACGTGTGCGCGCATTTGTGTGGCCGCCTTGCATTTACAAATGTCTTCTTTTTGGTCTTTCCGGACAGCCCCAGGCACCGTTTCGAGCATGTCGACTTGCTGCTTCGTGCCGTCGCGGGTCTATACGTCCTCGTTGTGGGCGAACCGTCTTCCGTCTTCCGTTTTAGCGAACACTTGCCGAGGATCATTAAAAGATGGAGGGGGACGAGGCGTCAATAGGACGTACACAGCGTCCCAAACTTGTGTATGTTACAACCAAGCAGATTTTGGAACTTGTTTTCTTGGCCCGGTTTAACTAAGGTCGATCTTTCGTTAAATGGTCATGGATATACAAGGATGGAAACCTTGGAAGGATTCCCAGACTTGTCATGTGTGCTTGAGAAAGATGCACGATAAGGGACCTGTTGATCAAAGCTGATATTTCGGCTTCACTTTCATATGGCCTGGTCACATATAGACAACAATATAATGTTTAAGACTACCTCCAAAAGCGAAGCCATATTGCTGTTCAAAATATAAAGAAATGTAATCGTACTGTCCCTGTTTGCTTGGCATTACATATGGGGATATGATAATAATAAAAATAATGAGTAATGAATGATTAATGACATGAAAAAAGCACAGGAGAAAGAACAACACGCGGACAATACTGCATGTGACATGAAGATGCAGAGAATGCGGTCGTGGCATTTGGTATAACAACGGATGGTATCCAAAAAGAAACGTGAAAGGATCCTCCTACAAAACAATAAACAGCCGATACACCAAAACGATCAAAGCACTCAGCACCCCGGCGGCGGGGGCGGGGGCGGCGTCGGTGGCGTCGTCTCACCGGCCACCAAGGCGGCGGCAGCAGCAGTAGCCGCCGCCGCTGTGGCTGCTGCTGCTGTCAGAGCGGCCTCCTGTGCCGTGTTGCCACCGTTGGCCGTCGGCAACGACGACAGCGATACGGCTGTCGAGGTGCTAACGTTGCTAATGTCGCTCGGCGTCGACGGCTCCACCACGCGGTTGCGGATGCCCATGATCCACTCGTGCTGCAGCAGGTCAACGGCCGTCGATCGCTTGCCCGAGTCGCGCCGGAAGCAGCACTTGAGGAAGTCAATGCCCTCCGGGCTCAGCTGGTCCGTTGTCGGCAGCTGCGGTGGGTTGCCCTGGGCAATGTTGTACATGATAGCCCACTCGTTGTCGAGGTTGCCCCAGGGCCGGCGGCCCGTGGCCATTTCGAGGATCACACACCCGAGCGACCAGACATCGATAGCGCCAAAGTGGTCCGGTGTCTCGCCCTTGATGACTTCAGGGGACATGTACATTGGTGTGCCGGTCATCGACCGGTTGGCCGGCTTCGACATGGCGCCCATGGCCATCGTTGGGTCGAGGTTGTTCATCGTGCGGCCGTGCCGCGCAATCACCTTGGCCGCACCAAAATCGACGTACTTGATGATACCATTGTGGTCGAGGAGGATGTCTGAGCTCGTTAGTATGTAATCACAATAAAACAGATGGGGCGTGGCTGGTGGCTGGGGGACACTCACTTTCGGGCTTGATATCGCGGTGAGCAATCTTAATCTCATGCAGGTAGGCGAGGCCCTCGAGCAGCTGCAGCGCATACACTTGGACGACCTGCTCGTCTTCGATGCGGCCGTGCTCCAGCAGGCTCGCCAGCGACCCGCCAGAACAGAACTCCATAAAAATGTACACGCGGTCGCGGTGCACCTCAATGCCATAGTACGACACAACGTTGGGGTGGTCGAGCGACTCGAGCACCCGCATCTCGTCTTTGATCTGCGTGGCAATCGTCGGGATGAGCTTGGGGTCTTGCAGGCGGATCTCCTTGACGGCCATCAGCTGGCCATTGTCCAGGTTCATGGCCGCGTAGACGTTGCCAAACGTGCCGCCGCCCACAAAGTAGCCCTGCTGCCAGCGCATCGTAAAGTTGGTCGCCGTGGACGACAGGTACGCCAACGACCGGTCCACTTCGTTGGACGCCTCGAGCACGCGGCCGAGTGACGACCGCTGCTCGAGAATCGACTTGCGGACCTCGTCGATCTGGTTCAGTTCCTCCATGCGGTGCTCTTCGACGTATGCCGACGCCTCCGCATCGCTGAGGAACCGGTTCTTGTCGGGCCGCTTGGAGTTGGCGGACGCCTCGAGGCGCTGTCGCTCCGCCTGTGCCGCTACACTCGACCGTGCACCCATAATGTCAAAGTGCGAGATAAGCAGAGACATGCACCCGGACACGCGGTCGCGCAGCTGCTCGTACTCGGCCTCTGTCAGGCCCAGGATGTGCCGGCCGCGCGTCATGCCCATGGCAAACTCGAGAGCTAGCACGGCCCAGCGGAAAGTACGCCGGTCAGACGTCACGCAGTCTTCGCAGATGAAGTTGACCCAATCGAGCGCAAGTTTGGTGAGCTTGATGTTGTGCATCTGCCGCCGGTTGCTGTCCATGTAGAGCATAGAGCGTTGGCCGAACTCGGTTGCAAACACAAAGCACATTTGGATCAGGTCCTGACAGTTGTCGCCCCGTGTCTGTTGCTGGATCTTCTCCACACTGTCCATGAAAGTGTTGGACAGCTTGTACGCCATGCGGCGGATCTCCGTCATCTTGGCATTGACCTTTTTGAGATTGGACCGCTGCTCAACGACCAGGTCAAGGTGCACATCTGCGTTCTCCAGGAAGGCCTTGCGAGCCAGCACAAGGCGGCCCTGCGATCCGCCCGCAATCAGGCGCAGGTGGCCCGTCTTCAAGTCGAGCGGCTCTTCGCGCACTGTGAGCGCCACACGCTGGCCATACCACGTCGGGTTCCCTTCGGGGCGGATGACCAGCACGTACGGGTCCGTGGGGTCTTCCACCACCTGCTCATAAGAGGTGCGGCCCATCAGTGACTGGATCTCCTCGTGCCGGTTCTGCAGCGATGGCGACGCCACGAGAATCACACCCTCCCGCTCGAGGCTGTGTGTATACACCTGAAAGTGGCCCGAATCCACAAGACGGTCAAAGAACAGCTCCATGTCTTCCTCGGTCATGGCAATGCTGAAATCGCACGCGTTTTCGTAGTTGTCGCTCAGCCGGCGTGAGAAACGCTGCAGCATGCGCTGCCGCACACGCACCGAGTCCAACACCTGCTTGTATCGCTTGCTCATGTCGGAGATGCTCTCTTTGGGCCTGCGCTGCAGCTCCTTGTCAAAGGTCTGACTGAGTCGGTTGAACGCCTTGAACGTCAGCGAGCTGAACTGTTCGGCCACCTCAACGTCGCCGTGGTACAGGTGGCTGCCAATCTCGTTGGCAAACTCCCACTCCTGGAAGAGCAACTCGGCCTCTTTGAAAGTGTTGCGGTTGCTGGTGAGCTTCCAGTTGAGCATCTTGAAGTAGTATTTGAGTGCGTCCAGGATGGCCTGATCAAAGGACTCGTCAATCCAGTTGGGCAGCTCCCAGCCAGGTTCCGGCTGTGAGATGGCAACGTATTCGAGCTTGACCTTAATGGCGAGATTGAGGAGCACCTGGAACTGCGAAATCATCTGGTCTTGCATCAGGGAGTTTTGCTGGGCCGACTCTTTCATCTTCTTGGCGTAGGCAAGCCGGACTTTGACAATCTCTTCAATCAGGCGCGCCGGGAAACTGACGAGCGTCAGAAGGTCCTCAACATGTGACGGAAGATGGCGCGTACGGAATTCGGCGGACCGCATCGTGAGCGTGTCCTTGGCTTTGAGAATCGTTTCGGAGATGCCTTCCAGCATACTGCGGCGGCGGCTCTTCCCATCCTCCTCAAAATGCACATGCAGCGACCGCAGGCCCTCCTCCTTGAGCAGTCGGTCCAGGAACGAGGACTCGTCCGTCAGCCCATTGCCGCTCGGCGACTTCTCCCGCGAGCGTGTAAAATCGAGTTCGTCGTTCCCAACCCACTTGCGCAAAATCGCTAGCTCCCGGTTGATCGTGTCGCTTGTGTTGCTCCATGCGACGATGGTGTCGCAAGAATCCTCGTACAGTGCGGTGGCGGCCGCCTTATGGGCGGCAAGGAAGGCCGCGCGTGTGGGGTACAACGATTCGGCCTTTTCAATCTTGTTGATGACATCGACCACCTGCTCCATGGCCGTCTTGCCTGCCTCGCTGAAACCCTCAACGCGGAAATTGATAATGTCGTCAATCATGCGATCCACTTTGCTCCGCGACTCCTCGATCATGCGGCGCTGGACGGTGATTTGCCGGCCGCACGTTTTGGCGCGAATGCCAACCCAGAGCTCGCTCTTTTGCACCGTCTTGCCGCTTTGCTCTTCACCTGCTCCAATTAGGCGCTTCTTCTCCTGCCGGACGACGTCGCCCGTTAGGACCGCCTCGAGCATGCCGTGCCACTCGAGCCGTTCGCGGTTGGAGGCGTCACGAATGTCCTCTTCGGTAGGATGCAGGTCATCGAAATTGTAGAACATGATCGCTTCTTGGTCGTAGCGGTCATCAAAGGGACCTTCTGATGATGGTGTCTCGCCTTCGGAATCGGAGTCGGCATTACCTCCGTCGGTGCTGTTGATGTTGTCAAAGTAGCCAGCTGCGTAGTCTTGCTCGCGTAAGCGTTTCACATACTCGCGTTCCTGGGCCCGGAAGGTCGACCCGCTGGTGAGCTGCCTTGGCTTGGCATTCGGTACACGTGTCTCCGAACCGTTAATGCCGGAAAAGGCGGGCTGGACTCCGGGTCGCCTCTGCGGCTGGTATGCGTTTGATAGTGTCCGGTTTGGTCCAGATGGCCGTTGCGGCCACGCACTCCCGCCACTAGAGGAGTTGGCAATGTAGCCATCAGACACACCTCCGCTCGTACCATTGCCATTGCCCAAGCCAATTCCACTTCCGTTGCTGGCGCCAGTGGAAATATTCGACGCGTTGCCATTCATGACGGATGCGATGCCGGCAGTGACGCCCATCGCACCCGAGCCACGGTGGCTTCTAGACAGACCGCCGGCGATTCCAAAGGAAGAGGACGATGTGGGCGACGTCGTTGCGGAGAGGGGAGAGTCGGGGGAGAGAGAGGAGTCGGACGGGAACGGTTGCTGTTGATGCCGGTAGCCCTTGGTTTTCTCGAGGCGTCCACGGTCGTCGTCGGTGTACGCGAATCTAACGCGCGGCGAGGCCTCGGACGCCATGGTGGGTGGGAAGAGAGAAATGAGAGAGGTGAGGGCCTGCTAGAGCGCAGGCTTAATCGATAGAGTAGGGAGGGGGCTCGAAAGCCACGAGATTGGTGGCGTCCTGTGTCAAAACGAAATCGATGAGAGTGAACCACGCTCTCCAGTAGAGGCTGGTGGGTGCAGTGACGTATTAAGCCGGGCCAAAAGCGTCCATTGCGGCAGTCAGTAAACAAAGGGAAGGTTGTTCCTCGTTTCCACACTGGAAAGATCGAGCAGTCGTTCCACGTAGAGGACGAGCGCTGCGCGGAGCTCAATGATAGACGGGATGAGGTGTCAAATTCGAAGCCGGTAATCGCAGGTGAGCCGCGAATAGGGCTCGCGTCGACAACGAGTTTCTGCAAAAACCGCTGAAGCTCAAGAGTATGTTGATGATGGTTGGTGATGGTTGGCGATAGTTGGCGATGGATGGGGTGGCAAAATGGTGAAGGAAGCCCTACCCATAAGAGAAGGAGCGACGGGGAGCACAGGTGCTTCGCAAACGGGGAAGGAGCCAATGCTGGTGTTGTGGGCCAGTATGCAGTGCTACCCCACATATATTAGCTATATTAGCTGCTAAGAGCATGCCCTGTCGTTCAGTGAGAACGCGGATTCTGTCGATTTTGGTGGCAATTGGGGAGTTACGGCGTATGCTCCGGATCGAGCTTTAGGCGAGTCGATCGACTAGCCATAGCTGCCCCAATTACGAATTAACGTGCCTCTCAAAGTTTAGTCACGTGAAGACCCGCCCAGCACAAGCAGAGTTGTGGAGCTAGCCAAGTGAGACGCGCCAAAACCACCTCCAGCTCGCACTGTATCTTCCCCGAACACGCGCCGACCGCGTCTTGGGGGAAGGAACGAGTTAGTAGCCCATCCGCGATAGGAAAGCGGACTGGCTGAATACATTTTGCACCAGCAACGTTCTACAGTTCTACTCAGTATCTGCTATTTACTGTATGAATATTCTTTCTGCTGATTCTTTATATGCCCATTTACATTCTCGCAATTGACGTTCTGTTTGCCTCTTGCCGCAACCAACACCATGCACATCTAAGAGCAGGTTCTTGACCTGCTGCCGCCGCCCCCATGTCCGCACAACACGGCCGGTCGAGCTCTCACGCCGTTCCGCGTCCAACAACATCGAACTCGCAACGGCCATCTTCACAGCGGATAGAGCGCCCATTGTCCTCGAGCGGCACTGTTCACGGCGCCTCGCCGGCGTCTGCCCCTCGCAAGAGACCGAGTGAGCATGGCGTGCCGCGGGATGCAAAGAGACGGCGGCAGGATGCTGGTGTCCTGTCTGCGGATGAGCTTCTAAAGCCGTCGATTGTTGTCCGAGTGCGTATACCACATCACTTTGACCGCCTTTCTCGGATATGTATGCTGACAATAGATAGGCCCATCCGTCCAATCCCCTATCGCGGCCATGCACGTTGTTCCCCATGATGCTTCTACCCCGCGAGCATCTGCCTCTATCGTATCTTGATCTCACGTCCCCGAGCGGTAACCTGCCGTCTTCTCGACACTTCCAGTCTGACATCCGTATCTTGGATCTGGAAGGCCGGCTTGGGTCGAACATTCTCATTGCTCGTTCACCGTCGAGCAACTCCAGCTCCTCGGGCGGTTTCAGCAGCGCCAGCAGCATATTTGCCATTGAACGGGAGGAGGCTGGTATTTATGTCCTTTGCAAACTGGGCAACTGGGCGGACGTTACCCAGCTCGGCCAACACGCTACTGCCGTGTGCCAGCAGCGGATGCCTTCTCCAGCAAAAGCCTTGGGAGTAGGGAAGGGCGAAGAACCTGCATCAATCACACCTCAAGTGTACAAGGAGAGAGGTAGGAAGAGACTGGCCATTGCCGAGTTGCAATCGATTGTGAGGCGGCGGCCAGCCTCTCAAGTTGTGGCAGACGCATCTGTCCCTGCAAGCCAGTGCGAAGAGTTGCCCTCGCCGTTGTTAGAGACTGCCGAGGACCCTAAGCCGAGCCCGGAGATACCTAGAGAAAATAAGGAGGCTCACGACGACCTGCCTGCCCGCCCACCGAGCCAAGCTTTCCTCCAGAAGAAGTCTGCTCCTTTGGAGACAGCGCCTCTGCCAACACCGCCCGCCTCTGATGCAACTAAGCGCTCATCGGCGGAGCCAACGCCGCCGGTAGGCGCGGAACTTAATGTCCCGCCTACGGCGGAGGATATATTCCAAAACATCCGCAATCAGTACTTCGAGGCTCTGTACCACTCCCTGGTATGTCTCTGGTCCGCCAATATGCCTTTTTTGTCCCTTTAAACTTGCAACTAACTTTTGAATAGGGCTCCTTGGCGTACTTTGCAAAAGGCCCCCTGTCTCGTGCGCGTGCAGCTTTCCACTTGGATTGTGACTCCAATCTCGAGATGGATGAGCTCATCAACTTCTTGAAGAGCATCATCTTGACCTCTGCGACGATCGACAAGAAATATCGCGAGACGATCCCAGATCTCGTTTCCCATTTGCGTACCCTCGAGGAACTATCTGACCATGCCGACTCCAAGAAAAAATCGAAGAAGCCGAAGAAGGTGAAGCTTGGAAGCAGCGGCCTCTATACAGGCGAGGACGTACATGTGCGCAAGTGGTGGGCTGCCAACAAGCCAGCACCTCGCGACGATGAGGTTTTCCCCAGACCCGAGGAGGTCAAGTACACAATCTCATGTTTGCGCACGCGCGAGACGCAGCTGCAGATGATCCTCATCTTGGAGATTATGGCACTAGAAACGATGCGGCCGACGGGTGACGCAGGCGAGAGCCAGCTCCCTGGCATGGTTGGAGAGATGCCGACAGTCGCCCCGATCAAGAAAGAAGCGCCAAAGAAACGGAACAAGCACAACTTGCCCCTATTGATTGATGTCCATGCCGACCGGCTTTGCATTTGGCAATCAACAACTTCGGATGAGGTGATAGCATTGGCCGAGTCCCAAGCACGCCCAGTTAGAGAAGCGGCTACGACAAAGACGGCGCATTCCGACCCGTTAAAAGACTTTTGTGTGGATATTATTTTGCCCTTCTTCTCCCCTCGGTTGCCTCTGGTGTGCGATACCTTGAACCGCAAACTGGGTGGACCGGTCATTTCGGCGCCAGGCTCTCGATCCAAGATGGCACCCAATTCGGCCAAGTCCCCATCAGACGCGAAGCTGCGTGAGAAACCCTCGTCCTCCAAATCCCATCAGCGATCGAAACCAGGTTCTGCGGCCCGACGATCGTCAGCCTCAACCGACAAGACCCGTAGCTTAGAACGTGTCCTGTCGAGCGAACGGCTGCGGCGCAGTGTTTCACGCGGACCCAATGATGCCATTGCCCAGATGCGTAGCGCCACGGCCGCTCCGATTCCTGGCCTGAAACGCGAGATGAGCGAGCCCGCGCTGGCCAGCATCCCCCGCCGATCATCGTCCACCTCACTCAAAGAACGGCCGTCAAACGCGTTGTCTAGGAGCTCGTCAGACGTCGTCAGTGCCAGTGTAGGCCGGTCCGAAGAAACGCGTGCTCGCAAGAAGGCTATGGTTGACGCCGAGTTGCAAGAAGCGATTTCTGCCCTTAAGAAGCCAAACCGCGAGCTCGCTGGCAAGGCAACTGTTGAAGCAGCAGAAAAGCGGCTGTTTGGTATACAAAACCGAGCACGAAGTAAGACACCTCCTTTGGTTGATGTGATGACCGTTGTCTGACCATTTCTAACAATTTTCGCCATTATAGAATCCAAAAAGCAGATAAGCCGGCCGTCACCTGGCGGGGTGCAAGTCAAGGCCACGCCGGTGAACAATAGATTCCGCGATGTCTTCGCCACGACTACGACTATGGACTTTCACGGTAACGAGCGCGGCCATGGTGAGATGCACGGCAGCTACAGTCAGAGGCAACAGGAGTATCCCCTGCCTAGCGATCGCGAACTACTGTTTCCTAGTCGCAGCGTGCCCCAAGTCGGTTTTCTTCCTGTGTCGCCTCGAGTCATGGGCACCCCTATGGCTGGCCGGGTTCAAGCAACGCCTATGCGAACATCTACATCTGTACCGGACTCGGCAGCTAGGACGGCTCCCACAACGTCGGCACCGTTCGACACCGCGTCTATCACGACGACTACAACGACAAGCACGACAACTGCTACCTTGAACAAATTCCCCATGGCGCGCACATCACGGCTAGAGTCTTTCCCAGAGGAAGAGGACTCCATGCCAATATCGTCACCTGTGGCAGCGCGTCGGGTGGCAACCCAAGTTGTACGTAATGGCACTGGAGCTGGTCTTCATGCATTCCGGAAGCTAGGCGACAACAAAGCTGCTCTTTTTGATGGCGACATGATCCCAGCATCGTCTCCGCTGCAGGCTCGTTCGCAACCAGCAGCGACAGTGATAGCTGAAACAGAAAACCGAGAGACTCTTCTTTCGACGGGCACCCAGCGACGATCCACCTTGTTTGAGACACCAACCAAAGTGCGGTCAATCACAATGGAGGACTCTGCTGCTATGAAGCGGGTCATGGCTACGCCTCTGCTGGCAAAACCGCTTATGGCGACACCTCATCATAGCCGCTCGTTGGCTGCCCCTACTACTTTTGTCGGAGATGGCAACAGTGTGCAGTCCCTCTATGCGCAAATGGGCTGGGAAGACGAAATTGACGATCTGGCGTAGAGGGCGTGTCAGCAGGAACGAAGAGCGAAAATGAATCAAGACAAGAAACAGAAACAGACATGATAAGCGGCATATATGGACGTATCGTATACATTCACGACGGCAACTCTCAGGGATTGGAAAGGAACAGGATTAGGATTCGGATTCAGCAGTGGAAGTTCATGACCTACAAAGTGCATTTTTGCATAGAACGGCGTTCATAGGGTGGCTCTGCGTTTTAAACATCATTTACATCATTTACATCATGACAAGATATCACACACAGGTGTTGCAAATATGATTGTTGCTGTTTTTCCAGTGAATGTACAAGAAAAGGATTGGTATTATGTTTTACATTAACACTCCAACGCAGCCGTTTCAATTCGTCTCATCATCACCCCGCTCCCCTTCAGCAATGATCATCACCGGCAGTTCCCGCACGTCCACGTGCTCCTGTGAACCCAGGTCAACAACGCGGATCGCCTCGATGCCGACGGCACCCGCCCGGAGCGCCACGAACCGCAGCTCTACGGAGTAGCACGCATTCGGCGCCAGCGGGCCCACACGCGTGTCGGCGCTGCTCAGGCACACCACGTCGGTACTGTCTACCAGCGAGCTGCGTTGCATGGCGTGCACAATGTTTTCGTCGAGTACGGCGTCGGCCACAGCCTCGACAACCGTACCCGTGTCCTCCAAGGCACCATTGGGCCCCACTCGCGGGTGGGGGCGACCGCCGGCCGTAGACGGCGGCCGGATGACACGAACATCGTTGCGGCGGCGTTTGGGCAGAGCAATAAGAGCCAGTTTGCGGGGCGCCGGGGGCGGAGGGGGCACGACACCGCCGCCGAGTGTGGCACTCGTGGGCAGCGTAGGCGTCAGTGGCATCTGCGAGGCACGGTTCACAACAAATACGGTCCAGCTAAACTCTTCGCCGGCGTACACCTTGTGCGAGGGGGCGGTAAAGGTCATGGTGATACCAAAGTCGGGAATGGTCGTTGCGGTGTTGTGGGTGGCGGCCGCCTCGAGTGAGGGGAGCGCGTCGGGACGGCTGACCGACGGCGCAGTAAATGAGGACATGCCGTCAATGGACAGCTGGGAAGGGCGGTGGGCGCGCTGGATGGATGGCGGGGGCATGAGGGCGGTGCCAAAGCCGGGGTTGACGGGGAGGGTAAAGTCGAGGCTTGTGACCCACGTCATTTTGAGCGTGGGCGTGCAGACGCCCGGTTTGACAAGCACCTTGACCTCGATGGAAATGTCGAGGTCGCGCGCCGCGGCGCTGGCACCGCCGTGGCCGTTGCCATTGCCATTGCCGTGGCCGTTAAAGCCGTTGCCTGTACCGCTGAAGCTTCTGCCATGGGCGCCAGGCAATCGCCCTTGGTGGTTGTGTTGGGACGGTGGCCGACTGATGTCGAATTCTAGCGGCGCAAGACGGTACAAGAAGGTGAAGTGGTCGCGTGCCACGCAGTAGAGTGGCAGGGCCAGGCCGTCGGCCGTATTAAGGTCGGTGATCTCGCCTGACGGGAGCGATATATTAATACTGGACAGGACGGCCTCGCAGTCAAAAAACGGCGTGAAATCAATCTCTAGCATCGCGACGACGGCCGGACTCGAAGGCGCCGCATTGGGGCGCGCGAACCGCACACGCGTGTGCACGGCAGGGAAGATGTTGAAAGCGATGGACTTGATGCCGCGCAGTGGCCGTGGATGGAAGCGCGGGTTCATGGCCGCAGCAGCCGGCGCGACACGGGATACGCGCTGTGCCGAGAGCCGGGGCCATGCGCCAGCCAATGCCGGGTCACCGCCAAACGACTCGAGCAAGTTCAGCCCGCTGGGCTCGCGGCTTTGCAGGTAGCCAGCCATGCGCCCAGACGGCGTCAAGCCGCCCAGCAAGCCGTTTGCATCGCCGTACGGAGCGAGCGACCCATTGCCCTCCGCGCTTGCCTTGGCGGCCACCGCCGACACCGGCTTCAAGCTTGCGACAGCTGAAAACGAGACGGATGGCCCGTGGAGCCTTGCGCGCGGTCGTGCTAGAAACACGGGCAGTTTCCACACGCAGTACGTCTGCCGTGTCACACCATCATCCTCTGCCGTTTCTCCCGTCTTCTGCAACTGGGTATCATCGCCGTCGCCGCTCTCGCCGCTCTCGCCGCTCTCGCTGCTCTCCTCGTCGCTGCCCCCTTTTGTATCGGTGGCCTTTCGGCCGGGCGCAACACCTGGTTCGCTGACAACAGCAAGCGGCTCGTCGATGTTTTCCACAGCGCCGTTAAAGATGGTCTCAACGACCGGCGGTGCTGCATCGCGCCCAGAGACGTGGCTGTTGAGGATCTGTGCTTCGAGGACGATTGCAAGGCGCTCGAGGTAGTTCCGTAGACGCGGTTCGCTTTGATATGGTGTTCGCAATATTAAGTAGATATCGACAGTTTCATCTGTGCGTGTGAGTATTGATACGATTTAGATGAAGACAATCAAACGGGCGGCTTCATACCAAAGAAAAGCGACTCTCGGTCCTCGATCCCCTCGATTAAGGCCTGCAGCGACTCGCCTTTGCTGGCGCATAGCTCGAGGTCCTGCTCGAGTTGGCTGTCGGTGGCCAGCGGTACAACGTAGGCGAGGTATGAGTCGCGCACAAAGTCTCCATCTCCGTCTGCTAGAACAGCTTCGTGCGTGGAGGGGACAGCCATGAGGAGGAGGGGACGTCGCGGCGCATAAAGGGTCGTTAGATTCCTCCCACGAGAGCTGTCTGGACACGCGATGCTAGACCAGGAGCGATGTTGGACAGACGTCAATCCAACGCATAAAAAGTGGGTCGTCAAGGGGTAAGCTTCACACGTGATATCGATGTCAATATCACGTGTGGAGAAATGGTGAGAGAAAGTGTTCAATTCATTTACCTTTATAAATTACAGAAAAATATTGAGAGGCTTGTATCATCAAAGAGGTTCACTATGTACTATCTGGGGTGGCCATTCAGAGCGTGTATAGTCCTGATATCGAGTGTGGTGCAGGTAACGCTCTGCGCGGAAGCATATCTCGTTCTCCTATGCAACGGATGGACTCCATATTCAAAGATTTGTGATTTGCAAAAAGCTATAAATTTAGTGGCGTTATATTCATAGGAGACTTTTGTTGCCGCATATCGTTCTAATTCAAATGCTATGCCCTTATATCGAACAAGAAAGAAACAAACTAATCCATCGCCAATATCCCAGTTCAAAAGACAGCGTTTTGACTCAGTGGCTCATTTCTAGTCATATCCAGCTCATCGTCTTCTTCTTTTCGAGTGTATTACTTGTCGGCACATGTTTTGCCGTCAATCTTGACGGTCTTGCCGCCACCAATTTTGATTGTGTCGTTGTCGCCGCGCTCCGTCTCATCGTGTATTCTTAATCCTGCAGTTGTTAGTGATCAAAATTCATGTATTACACCACATAGCCAATTCTAGAGAGGCTTCAGCAGCATTCATCTTACTGTAGACGCCTTCCTCTTCTCTCTTGCCCTGGACAACGTTTGCCCTCAGAAACGACGCCACCTCCTCGGCGTGCTGGATGGCCGGCTGGGCCTCGGAGTCCGGAAGACTAGCCTTCTCGCGGAAGTTGACCCGGATCTGTTCGCGTGCTGCGGACAAGACTCTCGAGTCGCCTATATGTGTCAGCGCACATGCTCATCTTGTCCGACATCACAACTCGATGATGGGTTCGACTCACCCTCAAAGGCAATTCTTGTGGCCCGGAACAGATTTCGGTATGCTTGAAGTGCCGCCATAACTTTAGAGTAGGCACAGTCAAAGATACTGCGCGACACTTGTGTTCGTGGGAGGTTGTTTTGACGAGGATGAACTCTTAAGAGTGAGAATGAGGTCCACACGCTGTGTCCTGATGGATGCTTTCGATAACTTCAAAAAGTGGGTCCTTCACCAAGCACGAAGCAAGGTAGGCAATCTTATTGGCTGAGCCTGTAAGGCGGGCATCGATAGTGGGGCGTCCCCTTGGTCTCAAGAAAAAAAAGAAAGAGGTAGCGAACTTTACTATCAAGTATTTTTCTCGCTGGTTGCTCCTTCCTCTCTCTCTCCTCTTCCCCACCACCTTCCAACCTCAACAACCACCTCCCTTTCCCTTTTCGTCCGCGCACCCATCGTCTCACAATGGCTGCCGCTACGACTCTCATTGCCGACCGGTACGTTCCCAGCCTGCCCGCCGGCTGGTCGGCCGAGGGCGACATCAAGCGCATCAAGTCGCTGTCTGCCGGCACCCACCGCAGCCTCGAGCCTGTTGGCCCGCAGTACCTTGCTCACGCCCGCCGTGTGCGCCACAACCGCACCTTCTCCGAGGATGACCGCATAGAGGCGGAAGCTCGTGCTAAGAAGGTCAACGCCGACGATGACGACGGTGACATCAGCGAGCCCGAGGACCCCTCGCTGCTCTTGCGCGAGGCCAAGGACTGGAAGGTGAGAAGAAGAGACACAAGCAACGACATGAAACCATCGGCCTCTTAAATGCTAACCCGAACGCCCAGACCCAAGACCACTACGCCATTCTCGGCCTGTCCCGCTACCGCTGGAAGGCCACTGAGGAGCAGATCAAGAAGGCGCACCGCCGCAAGGTGCTCAAGCACCACCCCGACAAGAAGGCCGCCGCTGGTGGCACCGAGGACGACCAGTTCTTCAAGTGCATCCAGAAGGCCACCGAGGTGCTGCTCGACCCCATCCGCCGCCGCCAGTTCGACTCTGTCGACGAGGAGGCCGACGTGGAGCCGCCGACCAAGAAGCAGCTCGCCTCGGGCGACTACTACAAGCTGTGGAGCCGTGTGTTCAAGTCGGAGGGCCGCTTCTCGCGTATCCAGCCCGTGCCCTCGTTTGGTACCGAGACCTCCACCAAAGAGGCTGTGGAGTCGTTCTACAACTTCTTCTACAACTTTGACAGCTGGCGCTCGTTCGAGTACCTCGACGAGGACGTGCCCGACGACAACGAGAACCGTGACCAGAAGCGCCACATGGAGCGCAAGAACCTGAACGCGCGCAAGAAGAAGAAGGCCGAGGACAACGCCCGCCTCCGCAAACTGCTCGACGACGCGTCCGCAGGCGACGAGCGCATTAAGCGTTTCCGCAAGGAGGCCAACGCCGCCAAGAACAAGAAGCGCCTGGACAAGGAGGCCGCCGAGAAGGCCGCCAAGGACGAGGCGGCCCGTGCCAAGGAAGAGGCCGAGAAGGCCGCCAAGGCTGCCGAGGAAGCTGCCAAGGCCGACCGCGAGTCGGCGAAGAAGGCCAAGGAGGCGGCCAAGAATGCTGTCAAGAAGAACAAGCGTGTGCTCAAGGGCTCCGTCAAGGACGCCAACTACTTTGCGGCGGCCGGCAGCGCAGCCGACGCGGCCACCATCGACAAGGTGCTGGGCGACGTCGAGCTTGTGCAAGGCCAGCTGGACCCCACGGAGATTGGCGACCTGGCATCGCGCCTCAACGGCCTGACCGTCTCGGACGAGATCAAGAGCGTGTGGAGCAGCGAGGTCAGCCGCCTGGTGGGCGCTGGCAAGCTCAAGGCTGGCGACGCTGCATCGCTGGCGTAGACAACCAAAGAGTGATACGACTATGATTTATAGAATTTTGATTTTTCTAGAAATGTTATAACGCAACCTAGTCATGAGATAGACAAGCCTCGGGGGTCGCTATAAATTTAAACGGATCACAAAATGACGCGCCGTTGTGTCCACCCAAAACGCTCAACCCACTCCCCCTGATATGCTCCCCGTGTGAAGTAAATATGCTCCGGCTCGAATCGAGACCCCACGCCATAGCTCCTATGAGAAACCGGACACCGCGCCAAATATGCCAAATCGGACAAACAGTAGGAATCAAATATGAATAAAGCAGCGATCAACAGCCACTCATAATACAAGTGCCTTGGCGTAGAGCTCGTCGTATACCTTTGCTACCCAGCCCTGAACAGGTCCGCCGCGCGCAACGACGCCCAGGCCACCCGAAGCCCAGAGGCAGAATGCCAGAAGCACGCCGCCCTGCACGGCCAGCCACGTGCGGCGCCGCCGCTTTTGGAGTGCCTTGGGCTCGCGCGCCCCACCACCGGCCGACACGTCCCGGTCTCCACCCCGCAAAAGATCCGGGCTCGACCACGCGGCCCGCTGTGCGATGCCCAACCACCGCGCCCAGCCCCATACCATGTGGCCCGACGCCGCGGCCAAGAAGGCACCATACGATAGCCAGGACACGACGGGGTGGCGCGCAAAGCCGTGGGCAACATAGGCGAGGCCAATGTCCGAGCTGTCGCCCTGGACCGCAATGGGCAGCAGGCGATTCAAGAAGACATGGGCGCCGACGGCGACGGCAAAGCCATACCCCGACGCCGCGATGACGCTGAAGGGCGGCCAATTGCTGGCGGTGGTGCGGCCGTAGCGGCGCGCGTTCTGGCTGCGGCGCACGAGACGCAAGCCGACACCGGCAGCGACATGGGCGGCAATCGGCAGAAAGACAAGCAGGGGCTCGGAGAGGCGGGTCTGGTAGATTTCGCGAGCGAGGAGAAGGTAGGACTCGGAGGCTGGGACGGACCGAGTGGCGAGCGGGATGAGGGAGGTGGTGGCCAGGTGGACGGACGAGAAGATGGTGAAGGCGTAGGAGGAGTAGCGCTGGATACGGGATACTGGGGAGACAGTTAGCTAGTTATATTCCTGGCGTCTCTCCTCAACATCACAGACGTACAATAGTAGACAGCACCGTGGCCTTGACTCAGGCCGAGGGCGGCGGTCGTGCCCTTCATGGTCGCAGAAACCGAACGACTGTGGCCATGCTTTGCGCTGGACGAAACGCCCGCCCCCGCATCCGCCTCGGCATCGTCACTTCCCTCGCTTGATAGAGGCGGCAGCTCTTTGTCGGTCTCCACGTCGGCTGCAGCGGGCGGTGTTGGCAGCGGTGAATCGGGCATTGGCATGGGCTCGAGCTCCAGCATCGACGCCAGCGTGTCCTGCGACGCTTTGCCGGCCAGCTGTGGCCGTGTATTGCTCATCGCGCGTGCCGGTTGGGCGTGGCAGCAAAGAGCGAAATGGAACCGGGAACGAGAGAGTGGACACGCGAGGGACGACAGTAGGCGAAAGAGGGAAGCAAAAGGAAGCGCGATAGATTGCAGTGAGACACCAGGGCTGCGTGCACCTATTTGGGCTTGTGTGTACCTAGGTCCGCCGAAGAAAGACGGAAGGTGGTCCTTGACAAGAACACATAATAGCAAAGCGGCGCGGCGCCATTGGCTGAATTGGCATGAGTGGGGCGGTCTTGTCCCCCCACACATGCCCGCCGACCCATGCCTTCCCTTTTCAGGGCGCACCGCGCTGTAACGACATGCGCCAGCGTCCTGCGGGTTTGGAGGTTGTTACCAGGGAGGCGCTTGCCCTTTCCAGTGCTCTTAAAGTTTATCAAGGGGACGCCCGCGTTCCTCGATATCGGAACACCCCTCGGGACACCTCAAGATAATTGCATAGCATCCCTGGCTTTTATTGAGTTACCGCGTTCCCCAGCATCTTTCATTTCTTCTCTCATACTTTTCGTCTCACTCACTTTCCAGCATCGCTTCTGCCATCCTCTGTTGACCCGACGACATGCAAATATCACAACGATCAACAGTGTGAGCGGCCATGGGTGCAACGATGCGACGCAACAAAGACCGCCTTTACGTGGGCCTCTACGTCCGGCGAGGTGCTCTCAGAATGGCAGGTGGTGAAAACAGGTGAGTCCTCGCGCGCGTACGAGCAACTGATTTTCTCGTTCACGGTGCAAATGCCAACAATCAACCCACCAGATATCACTGGGCTCTGTTACGCGGGCCCAAAGTGGAGGACGAGGACACGCTGCTCACAAAGTACCATGCCACCGAGAGCCCTGGTAGCAGTGAGAGCGGCGGCAGTGAGAGCGGCGGCAGTGACAGCAGCGCCAGCAGTCCCACCGAGTTGTCGTCGGCTACGTCGTCGTCTTCGGCATCTTGGACGTACGCCGAGCAGACGATGCCCACCTATGACCTCATGCTGCTAGCACGCGTGCTCATTGGCAAGGTCCGGAACCCATCCCGCCTCGAGACCATTCTTCGCGGCGTCCCCGTCCCCCTTGCGGCTCTGACGGACAAGGACAGGCTCAACCAACCGCCTGGCTGGAACTGCGTCGGCTGGGTGCAGTCCGCCCTCGAAGCGCTCGCAGCCGATGCAGGCGGCGCCATGGGCAAGTCATCAAATCTCGACTGGACGGCCGTGCGCGACGCATCTATGGAGTACGTCGAGCAGAAGGCGACGGAGCATCGCTATGACGGTCTGGCCCCGGTCGGTCAATTCGACTTGGCGAAGCCGGCGACCTTTGACCTAGTGCTGGGCCAAGAAGTTGCACCGTGACGAGGCGTGCGGTGTGATGATGTGACGAAATGACGACTGGATGCCACGGTTTGATACAATGGGCGTTTTTGGCAGCGTTTTTGCGAATATATTATTCATTAAACAGATCAGAAATGAAAATAGGTGTAGGTAAGGAAACGGTAGCGACGTCGTCGTTCGCAAGGGTGCCATTTCGATGGACAAGAAATGATTAATCGGCAGACAAAAGGCGCCAGATGTATCTTGTTGATAATCAAAGCTTGCTTTTTTTACCCGTCGTTGGGTATCATCGTGAAGTTGTATCGTTTAGAGAGGTTTTGGAAGTTGACTTTGTGGAAGAAATCGCCAACTCGCCCCCTTTAATAGTGCTCTTTTGTTCTAGGGGCGGCGAGGCTGAAGCGCTGAAACTGGAAAAATTCATTGTCCGGCAGCTCCTTTCAGCGTCTAATGCCGGTGCTTGCCACCCCACAAATACCCTGCGTTAGCCTTGCCTTGGCAGCTGCTCCACAACTCCTACCAAACAACCTTGATCAAAAGTGCGAGCCTTCCTCCTCGACGATGCAAGTCGATTCCACAACAATCTGAACCATCTTCACCTTCGACATGCGTCCTGTACGTCCGTTTCTCTTTTTCATCTGGCCACTCCTACACACGTCTTACTAACCATGCGCAGAGATTTCAAGCCCTGCCGCCGGCACAGACCGCGTCCGCACGCGAGGCGCGCCGTGCGTTCTTCTGTGAGCTCTGCCAAAAGGGCTACACACGCATGAACGAGTACGAGGCCCATCTATCGTCGTACGACCATGCGCACAAGCAGCGTCTCAAAGACATGAAAGCGATGGTGCGTGACCCGACCGTAGCGGCTCGCGCCCGCCGTCTGGAGGCCAAGGCGACGGACGCTGTCATCAGCATCAAGATGGGCACCAACGACGGCGGTCAGGATGCGTCTTCCGGTGGCGCAGCTGTCGGTAATTCCGGTGCCGGTACCAAAAAGGGCGGCTTTCGCAAGGGTGGTTTCAAATCAGCCTTCTCAGCTGTTTCCAACGAGAGCTCGCAGCCACCAACAAGTGCCGACATGACAGCGCCGTTGTCGGACCTTCCGATCATCTCGTTACCGACGACATCAACATCAACTGCTCAGGCGGCGTCGACACCGTCCATTTCTGGATCCCTGCATCCTCCGCCCTTGCCACTACCAGGACTCGACGAAGCTCAGCAGGGCACACACTCTGATGTTGAGAGCGACACCGATGACGAAGGCTATGAAGTATATGACCCGCGCAAGCCGACCGACTGAAAGTAAAGACAAATCGAAGATTATACGCCAACAAAAAGCAATACGTCATAAATTCGTATGTACAGTGACAATGGGAGAGGTGTGTGTCTATGATGCATATACTCTGGTGTCCGACACACAAGGCACCTTCCTCTCGCCTCACAGCAATTACCACCACTCGGCAAACCAGCACGGCTCCGCATGTACAATCTGGCACATTATCTCTCCCGCCTTCTGTGCATCGTCATATTGCCGGGATCCCCTCTTTCTGCACCCCCACTCCCCAATGCTCTTCGTTTTCTCGCGCTAGCAGGGCACGCATTGTTCTTTGGATAGGTGTCTACTCCATGGACCAGTGCTGAGGCTCGTTTCCGCGCTTAGAGCGGCCATGGCTGGGCTGGTTATCAGGGTCCTGGTCTGGTTTGTGGCCGGGTCCGTGGCCGGGTCCCTCACCGTGGCCACCCCCAGGACCATGACCGGGGTGGTAACCCGGGCCAGCCGTAGGCCAAGCAGTCGGCCACGCCGTCGGCCACACGCCCGTCGGCCAACCCGTCGGCCATGGGCACGGCGGGTAGAGCGTCTCTGTGGCGGTGGCGCAACCCGTTGGGCATGCGCAGGATGCCGTCGAGTACACAGTGGGTGCGGCACCGCTTTCGCAGCCGCAAGGAATCGTGATCGTTTCGAGCTTGATGCAGTAGGGAATGATGCAGGTGCTCCCATTGAACGAGGGCCCACAGCTGGGCGCAGGCACGGTCGACGTGATGGTTGGGCAGACAGGCGGGTCGATGGGTTTTGCGCTCGCGAGGCTGTCAAGTTAACGGGGGCTTGTTACTGGTGAGACGAGGTAGGGAAATTATTACGCACCTCGCAAGCGAGGCGGCGACAAAAAGCAGATGGTTCATCGTGGGGGCCATAGTTGAACTGTAAAAGAGGAGGTTAGTAGTCGATGGCGGGTCGGGGGCTCTGCCGAAGTTGTCGATAGGCGATGATGAGGATGAGAGGGAAAGGGAAATGAGCGGGAAAAGACGGTGACTTGCCGTCTTGTTATATACGACATTCTCTTTTGCAATTTCGAGGAACCCTCACTGGAACGAAGACCATGCTGTGCGTAGATTACGTTGACAAGCATCCATATGCATTTTATCGGCCTTCATCACTGTGGAATTGCAATGAAGATCGCCGCATGAAAACAAACGAGCTCAATACCCATTACATCCTGGAGAGGCAGAATTGTTGTTTCTGGCACCAGCAGGGACGTTGGACCGACACTGAGAAGAAACGAGAAGGTAAAAGCAAGTATATAGATAGCGCAGGGTTTCGTCCCACAATAAGTCTCTGTTTAGGTGACCATGTTTCCTTTTTTACAGTGTTTCCCCGTCCTATTTGAGGGTATTTTAGAGGCTGTATTGTTCTGTTTTCTATTTTTATTTTATTTTTTACTTTCGGATAAGCCTTTTGTTTGTCCGTCCAACTTTATTCTAGCAGGTCTCATTCCTCGCGGCTGTCATACTTGCAGTGCAAGATTTAGCCGTACCCTCTTTCTAGCCCACCCATGCTCCAGCAGCGAACAGTGGTAGTGGGACTCCACCAAACATAGTCAACGGTTAGAGAAAAAGAAAACAAACAACAATTGAGAGGCCCATACCGGTGGAAAGACTAATGTGAGAGCGTAGACAAATACAAATGGCATACTTTAGAGCAAGGGAAAGCTTAGCACGTCCAGTGGCCTAAATCCTCTCGCGATGCAAGCACATGAGATTAACTCGAGCCGGGACAGGTGCACGGAGACGAGATGACAGACAGCAATTGTGCTGTGCAAGGGCGCGATATTTGTTGTTGATGTTGTTGTTGTTGTTTTTGGAGACCCTTGTTTCTAGCTATTTAATGCGATCCGCCTCTGACGGCTCGGCGCTGGTCAACCCTCTCCAACATTCCTCGCTGGCATCCACCAATGCCGTGATCGACAACCACCGTGTCGATCACAACGCGGACGAGAAACAGCCTGGGCAGTGCAGCATGTGCCAGATATCATGTAAACAGTCTTCGTTTAAATTTGTGCATCCAATAATACCATCGGGAGGCATCGTACATGGCAGTGTGTCGGTAGCGTCCAACGTTTCCCGTCTCGGCATCGGTAGCGTTATTTAGTCAGGACATAATCATGAACAATATAACTTACCATTTGTACGACACACCAAGATGTGAAACCTGAGAAAGAAAAGAGACAATGTAAACGGAAAGACCGGGATTCTGACATGCCTTCCGGTATTGTTTTATGAAGATTTATTAAATATTATTGATAAATTAAAACTTTATATCAGTAAATAGATACTTGCATTTATTAAAACAGGTATTGCTAAATTAAAAAAACCGAACAAAGAGACAACGGATGAGATATTGTTTAAAGGAAACGCGACAACCCTCGCTTTCATTTTTTATCACCATCCTGCATCTCTCAATCTTGACCGTATACAGTTATATGCGGTCTAAACTGTTTCTCCTGGCGAAGGTAGACGCAAATTTGCTACGTATTAAGCGCCAAATAGCTCCGTAAATTTATGGCCACGACTGCTATATCAGAGGAAAGAAGTTGAGCTAAAACTGCTAAGAATAGAAGAAGGTTCTGATGTCACTAAAAATGAGACTAGAAGAATATAAAGAGCTGAATAAAACAAGCATGAAATAAGACAGGATTAAAAACACGTCTTCGTTATTATGCTTACCTTTTCCTTTAATGCTACGGAATACATCCTATTGACAACATGGGGAAAGGGATTGAACAGAGAAAGGTTGCAAACAACCCGGCTCATGACAAGCACTACAATATCCATCACTTTTCAGCATGTTACGCCACAGAATATCTACTTGACTCTATTGTACTCCGTCTCTAACTTTAAAATACCCTAGTGCGCCCCGCAAAACTTGAAAATGGCATGTTAATACGCGAACCAGGCAGCTTAATATCTCTCATGCCGTCTTCGGCGCAACGAGCGTATTGGAGAACTCCAGCGTCGTCCGCACGCCGCCGTTGCTCTGTGCCTCGATCGACACAACGCGCACTGACCGCAGGTCCTCGACAATCCAATCCGGTTCAGCCTTTGCCACCTGCGCGGCCGTGTGGCTCGTCACGAGGCCAAGCACCTTGCAACCCGCTGCCTTGCCGGACTGGATGCCGGCAGGGCTGTCCTCAAGGACCAGCACGTCGTATGTTCCCTCCTCGCCCTGCTTGGCCAGGCCGAGTGCCTGCAAACCCATCCGGTAGCATGTCGGGTCGGGCTTGCCGTTGGCCACGGACTCGGCCGTGATCAAGTGCTCGGGGTTCGGCAAGTCAAGCTTGCCGAGCCAGCCGTTGACGAGGGGCTCGGTGCCCGATGTGACGATGGCCCAGGGGGCACCTTGGGCCCGCAGCTTGTCGAGAAGAGCGCGTGCACCGGGAATCTCGACGGCGTCGTCGCCGTACAGCTCGGGAAGGCGACCTTCCATACTGCAGACATCTGGGGCGTTTGTTAGGGGCAAAAACAGATTGGCCGGAAGAGGGGAAGAGGGGCGCGTGGACTTACACTCCCAGTTAGCCTTTTCCGGGGATAGGATCTTGAGAATGTCAATACTCCGGCGGCCGTGTGACGTCTGCAGGATGACTTCGGGCGCAACACCAATCTCATTGCCGACTCTGTCGCGCGTTAGTATCTCGACGGGAGACGCAGCACCAAAATGGCGACGTAGGCTGAACGTACGTGTGCCAGTGCTTCTCGACTGCGGCCGTCGAGTCGATGATCGTGCCGTCCATGTCGAACAGGAAGCCCTCGAACGTGGCCTGTACCGCCGGACCGGTAAATGACGGCGCATCCACCGGGCGCGTCTCGTCTGCAGTCATAGTGGGTTAGATTGGTAGGATGGTTGTGGGATTAGGGATTATCAGGTCAATCAAGTTCGGTAGAGTACGATGTTAAATGAATGAAAGCTAAAAGATCGAATAACGCGAAAAGAAGGAAAGAAATAATGTAGAAATAATCGATATGGACAAGAAACGAAAGAGAGGAAGGATCAAACCGAAATATCGACAAAGGAATTGAGACTACATAACGACAATTCTCATTCATGGCGCCGTCGTATGGAGTCGGGGCGAAAGCGAAGGAGGCCAGAGTGTGTCGGAGTGTCTGAGAGCGGTTAGTGCCACGCGAAGGGAACAGAAGCGCCAGCGAGTATCGCACGTGCAAGCCGTAATTACTAGTTGGGCGGGTCACTGCCAAAAGGACCATAAACTGACAAAGTAAGTCGTACGTCTTCTGTTATACGTATGAGAGCATTGACATCTTTACTGAATAATTTTTGCCAATCAATCTAGTAATTTATTACAAAAACCAAATCTCAGACGTTCATCTTTGTCGTTTGGATCTCAAGGTAAAGTGATGGAGTCCAACATTTTGGTGACTGTCAAAACCAATGTCTCTTATCGATAAGAGACCGAAAACTATTTTGCCGCATAAATTGTGGAGCTAGAGGGGAAAGCGGTGAAGTTTTTTATTTTTCGCTGCACAGCACCTGCAGCATCGACACTGCACAGAAAAAGTCAAATTTCACCCACGACTGTTTGGCACCTACGACAACGCCGGTTGAGAATACGACGGCCTGGCACACCTCGATTTCAATCAACAAGCTATCTGGTCTGTGTAAATAGCGACAAAATGGCCGGTACTATAAACAAGCCCAAGAGTAAGTGATACAAAAATTGCCAGTCTTACATCAAAGCCCTCCTCCATCTCATCTACTAACAACCCTTTGCAGAGCCCAAGAGCAAGCGGCAGCCCGTCCGCCTCCGGCACAAGATCGAGAAGGCCGCCGCGGCCAAGCAGAAGAAAGACAGAAAGCTCGCAAAGAAGAACCCGGAATGGCGGTCTAAGCTGAAAAAGGACCCGGGTATCCCCAACCTGTTCCCCTACAAGGAGAAGCTTCTGCACCAGATCGAGGAGACCCGTCTCCGGAAACTCGAGGAGACAAAGCGGAGACGAGAGCTCGCCAAGGCTGCCCGGACGGGCAACACGGCTGACGACAACGAGGACGAGATGGTGGATGACGATGTCGAAGGCGACGAGAACGACGACGAGGATGACGGCGACATGGATGTTGAGGACGACGAGCCGGTTGATGAGTCGAACCCTATGGCCGCGCTTCTCGCGAGCGCACGCGCCGCCGCCCGCAAGTACAAAAACAAGCGGCGAGAGGACCCCGACTACGAGGAAGGTGATAGCATGGACGACGGCGAAGACTTTGGCGACGAGGACGACGAGGACGAGGACGACTTTAGCAATGGCCACGTCATTGAGGTGCCCGGCGGGGCAACTTCCCGCAAGGCCTATGACAAGGTCTTCAAGTCCGTTGTTGAGCAGGCTGACGTCGTGCTGTACGTCCTGGACGCGCGCGACCCCGAGGGCACGCGCTCGCGCGACGTCGAGCGTGCTGTCCTGGCGGCAGCCGGCGGCGAGGCTGGCAAGCGTCTCATCCTGATCCTCAATAAGGTCGACTTGGTGCCCCCACCCGTGCTGCACGCCTGGCTCACGCACCTGCGTGGCTCGTTCCCGACACTGCCGCTGCGCGCCTCCAGCCCTGCGCCCAACGCGCACACCTTCAATCACCGCGACATTTCCGTGCAGAGCACGAGCAGCGCGCTGTTCCGCGCGCTCAAGTCGTTCGCCGCCAACCGCAACCTCAAGCGCTCCATCTCGGTCGGCGTCATTGGCTACCCCAACGTCGGCAAGTCGTCCGTCATCAATGCTCTGCTGAGCCGTCTCAGCGGCAACAACCGCACGCAGCGCATGGCCTGCCCCGCTGGCGCCGAGGCAGGTGTTACCACGGCCATCCGCACCGTCAAGATCGACAACCACCTGATGCTGCTCGACTCTCCCGGCATCGTCTTCCCCTCGTCGTCAACCACGGCTGGCTCCGGATTTGGCTCGGCTGTCAGCTCCAACGATGCTCCCAAGAACGCCGCCGACGTCCAGGCCAACCTGATCCTTTTGAATGCCGTGCCGCCCAAGATGATCGAGGACCCCATCCCGGCCGTTACGCTGCTAATCAAGCGCCTGTCCGAGGCCACCTCGCTTCCCTCCGTGTCAACACCCATTCCCGATGCCCGACTCAAGAAGCTGACAGACGTCTACGATCTGCCGCCACTGATGGCAAGCCGCGACACGGGCGACGTCACAACGGATTTCCTGGTCCAGGTGGCGCGCAAGCGCGGCCGGCTGGGCAAGGGCGGCGTGCCCAACCTGCACGCGGCTGCCATGACGGTCATCACGGACTGGCGCGACGGCCGCATTCAGGGCTGGGTCGACCCGCCGAAGCACTCTGTGGCGGCTGCGGCTACGGCTACGGCTACGGCTCCTGCGGCGTCACAGCTTGATGCCGACATGGCCGGCAGCACTGTGCCGGCAGCGAAACCGGTGTCTGCTGCGTCCGGCGACCAGAAGACAATTGTCACCGCCTGGGCAAAAGAGTTCAAGCTTGACGGCCTGTGGGGCGACGACAGCAATGACACAACTCCCAACAGCGCCGATGTCGACGTTATGCAGGCATAAAAAATGGACGTTTGTAGTCGAAACCTTTCCACCTTAGACTCGCTTTATGTTTACGTTTCACGGTTTATCTTTTTCTTGGGGCTCCTTCGGGTTAACGAATACAGTGGCATCCGTCTTCCTTGTTTCATTTTCTTTGAACATTCTTCATTTCGCATTCTTTTCTTGGGAGGGTTTCTTTTTTTCGACGTCTTTTATTAGCGGCGTTAGGGAAGACAAAACTGAAAAGTCCAATGAATTATCATTCAATTACTTATTTTCAGATGCCATCACCACCGTTTTGCAGAGGACTGATTGCGTAACAGCGCCAATGGACTTTGTGTGCAAACATTATACGACTCATGCCGAGGGCGTATTGTCGCGCCGTAGAAAGCCGCCACAGTGGCATTGGCCAATTGACCCCACTAAAACCGATTGTTCTTTGGCCCACAGTGCCACCAAAACGATCCAAAGTATCGGGCCATTCCCCGCCAGGTGAATTTGAGCCGAAACAAAGCGAAACATCACCACGTCGCTGCAGGCGACACAGGCTTGCACTTTCCTTATCATGGCAGGTACACGCTGTCGGATCCGGGAAGTCAAGGCGCAAGTGAGAGAGCAAAAGCGATTGTAGAGAAGGTGCGATGCGATCATCGGAGCAGGTTGAAACGTAAAAAGTTGCGTTTTGCGCTTTCCTATTACAATTACTTCCCCTCTCATCTCCTGTATCGCAAATCCATTCCTCTGAGACGCTTTTATAGCTAGCTCCCTTGAAAGTTAAAGAGATACCTCGTGCGCACCTTCCCTTTGTATCCCCCCGCAACTCCGTCACATTTTCCTCGAGTATCCTCCTCACGTTCTGTGTTTTGTGCACACACCAGACCAAAAATGGCGTCAAGACGACTCAGCAGCGCTGCAACAGCGAGGCTCCTCAGCCCCGGTCTGCGGCGGATGCAGAATCAGCATTTTCAGCACATACCACTCTCCAGACAAACGTCCGTTTTCTCATCGCGGCCACAGCTGCGCATGTCGTCGATTGCTACATTCAAGGCGCCTAGTGTCAGCAACGAGCCAAACGTACGTTGTTGCCCCCGGTCCGAGACTGTCAAAGCAGTTTAGAAACTGACCAAGAAACAGCACTTCTATGCCAAGGGCTCGGAGCAGAGAGAGGGCCTTACGGCGGCGGTTGAGAAGCTTAAGGCGGCCGGACCGGTCGACGTCCCGTTGGTGATCGGAGGCAAAGAGGTGAGTTTGCGACTGTCGTGAACATATCCTCATTGCACTTACGTTGTGCTCACATCAATTCCCGTGACATCAGATCCGCAACAAGTCCATCGGAGAACAGAAGAATCCCGCCGACCACAAGACCACCATCGCGACCTACTCCCAGGCCAGCCCTGCCGATGTCTCTGCGGCCATCGAGGCTGCCCTCGCAGCCAAGGCCGAGTGGGCGGCTGTCCCCTTTGCCGACCGCGCCGCCATCTTCCTCAAGGCGGCCGACCTCATCTCCACAAAGTACCGATATGACATCATGGCGGCCACGATGCTCGGCCAGGGCAAAAACGCATGGCAGGCCGAGATCGACGCCGCCGCCGAGCTCTGCGACTTCCTGCGCTTCAATGTCCACTACGCCGAGCAGCTTTATGCACAGCAACCCCAACACAACTCTACGGGTGTGTGGAACCGCGCCGAGTACCGCCCTCTGGAGGGCTTCGTGTATGCTGTCAGCCCCTTCAACTTCACCGCCATTGCCGGCAACCTGTCGGGTGCTCCCGCCCTGCTCGGCAACGTAGTTGTGTGGAAGCCATCCGACTTTGCCATTGCCTCCAACTGGCTGCTGTACAACATCTTCCTCGAGGCCGGCCTACCCAAGAACGTGATCCAGTTCGTTCCCGGACCGCCTGAGGAGGTCACGCGAGTTGTCCTAGAGCACCGCCAGTTTGCAGCCCTGCACTACACGGGCAGCACGGCCGTGTTCCGCAAGCTGTGGGGCCAGATCGGTGAAGGCACCGCCGAGGGCCGCTATATTGGCTACCCACGCGTCGTGGGCGAGACCGGCGGCAAGAACTTCCACTTGGTCCATGCCTCGGCGGACGTCGAGAACGCGGCCGTGCAGACGGTGCGTGGCGCGTTCGAGTTCCAGGGCCAAAAGTGCAGCGCCACGTCGCGCCTCTACGTGCCCAAGTCGCTGTGGCCGCAGTTCCGTGAGCGCATGGTCGCCGAGACGGAGAAGCTGCAGATGGGTGTGCCTTGGGAGCACCGCAACTTCGTCGGCCCCGTTATCCACCAGGCCTCCTTTGACAAGCTGTCGGGCGTCATCGACGCCGCCAAGTCCGACAAGGAGCTGACACTTCTGACGGGCGGTCGCTACGACGGCAGCCAGGGCTTCTTCGTGCAGCCAACCATCTACGAGACCAGCAACCCGGCGCATCCGCTGATGTCGCGCGAGCTGTTTGGCCCCATCCTAGTGGCGCACGTCTACGATGACAAGAACGGGTCCGCGAAGGCGTTTGCCGACATGTGCGACACCATTGATGCGACGTCCGAGTACAGCCTGACGGGCTCTGTGTTTGCGGCTGACCGGTCGGCGGTGCGCGTGGCTGAGGAGCGGCTGCGCAACGCGGCGGGCAACTTCTACATCAACTGCAAGAGCACGGGTGCCGTGGTGGGCCAGCAGCCGTTTGGTGGTGCGCGGGCCAGCGGGACCAACGACAAGGCAGGCAGCCCGACTCTGCTGAATCGGTTTGTGAGCACGCGCAGCATCAAGGAGGAGTTTGGGGCCACCACCGCGGTTGGCTATCCGAGCAACGTGGAGTAAGAGAAGTACGACGTAGGGGACGGAAGGGAAAGGATACCAATTCTTGTGTGAAGGCTGCTCACACTAGCACAACAAGCCATCTATGTACGAATATATTAGACATAAGAGGCTGGAGGACTGAGACTAGGATATGACACGGCTGGTTTTCATGAGCAACAGCCTAGCATTCTGACGAATTAAATCAACGAATTGAAGCATCACCGTCCCTGTCTGAATGGTACAAAGTACTCGTAGATTGTGGCTTGTCTATGGTACCTACGTAGACTCGTGCAGCGTCTCCAAAACGCCCTCGTGCCCCCTCGTTTTGGGAAATAAGACAGTCTTGTCGTCGCGCTTGGCTGGGCGAGACTGAAAGCTGGCAAACGCAACCAGACCGAGAGAGGCAATAAGCTCTGTAGATAGCGTGCCACATCAACTTCGAGAGTTATGAGGTTGTGTATGTCGTATAGGGTGACGCTCTGTAGATGCAACAACGCGGTTACGGCATTAAGGGACGCTGCAGCCTTTCAATGTCCCAGAGCCCACGTGCCTCTCTCCTCCCTGCCTTCGCCCCAACCGGGAGCTACGATTTATGGCATGTCCCCCTTGCCCGCCTCTCTTTCATGGCTTGGCTTGCACGTACTCCATAGAGTGCCGACTTGTGTCTCGTGCTGCTGGTGCAAGCCCGTGACCCCATGCCATTTGATACACAAGTACATTTTCGTCCGGGGCAAATGTCGCATTTGTGAAGCCCCCCATCAGTCCAATCGAAGGCCCGCTTCCTCAATGTGGTGGGAGGGAGTGGTTGTCAGTGAATCGACAGCGCCGTGGCAGGGGTGCGGGCGCATGTCGCAGAAACAGAGCCATGCCGTCGGAAGAATCAGGGGAGAGCGCGGGCTGGATCAAGGATGATCTTTGTTGTGGTTTTTGGACGTCGAAAGTTGCATTCTCCTGGCCTCCACCGAATGACTTTGGCATTGCTCAGATCGTGTTGTTTGTTGCGGCGCGTATTCTTTTGTATCTCACGGGGCGTTGCCAATGGCTCCTTCCAGTTCTACGTGCCTCTTGGTACTTCGCCGCAACTCCGTCGCAAAAATGGAAGGCACATGGGTCTCTCTTTCGTTACCATCCCTTTACAATATATTTCGTACAACCATGTCAAAAAGAAAGCCCATATTCTTCGGCGATCCACTAAACTGTTGAAACTCTTGAAGGAGGCTCGAACGTGTTGCACAAAAAAATCTGGGTATTCGTGCGCCACAATAGGCGATACCCAAGATCAGCGAGCCTCTCTCCTACTTCTGCGCTCCAGCGTGCCTGTGGTCGCAAATTTGCCACGCCGACACACTCACCTCAAAGGCCAAAACGACTAAAATGGGCAAGAGCGTTAAGTGCTGGTAGCTCCTACCTGCCCTTGGCTCCTGCTTGGGCGAGAGATCGCGTGCTCCATACCAGCGCAACGTGCGTTGGTGCCGCGCGGGGATTGGCTGGAGCCAAGATCGACTTACACCACGACTTAGCTTCCAACGTCGAAAAAGGGCGAGTCACTTGTTCCCCCGGAATGACAGCCGTCAGCCCTCTTGCTGCAACCAAAGCCTTTGCAAGGCCGGCTCGTGTGCTGGTGCTGTCTGCAGTGATCGCTTGACACTTTCTCAATTGTGGCAATCGTTGTCCTAGGCACGAGCACGAGGGGCTCTTCCCTGTAGCTGCTTGGTCTCGCCTTCCTTACCTGTCGGTCTTTCCTTCCTGCCTTGTCTTGTCTCGGACCACGAGCGTTGTCATATTCGGATCGCGCCTGCCTTTCATGCGGAATCTTACGTCCTTCCTTTTCTTCCTCCTCTTTCCCCGTTTGCTCTGCTTCTTTCTCCTTTTCTATTGCATCTCGTAAACCATTGAAATCTGAAGCTCGCTGCACCTCGACGCAAGTCCAGACAGCCCGTGATACGACATCTCACCACATAGAAGACGAGTGCAAGAAATACAACACTTTCCATTATTGCAAACTATCCTCCGCCTGCTACCGGACTGCGTGATAGTGTCGGCCGGTCGCACAAGACTACGCATTTTTGCAACGCGGTCCCTTTTCTGTCTTCCACCTCTCCTGTCGTATTCCTCCTTTTCTTTCTTCTTCCTGCTCCTTACCCCCCAGTTTTTGTTTCCATCTATGCCTGCTTATCTTGATTCCCTTGCCCCCCTCGTGCTTCAGCATCCACCCAATTGGCCTTAAACTTCTCTCATCAACTTGGCCGCCGCCATATTACTTACGACCGCCACCCACCACCCCCTGCTCGTGCTCCTATCCACAACCTGCATACAACATTTCCCGATTTTTTTCACAACCTGAGCCGCATCCAAGTTCTTTTCTTCACTCGTCGCCGTGCTCGAGAGTCGAATTCGTTAGCCGACTTCGATTTCATCGTACTCCTGCCCGCCCAGACGTTCTTTCTTTGCAGCCATGGTTTCCTTCCTCACCAGCCAGCTGTAGTTTATTTTGTGCACGACAACCGCGGGTGTTCTCACAAAGAACGAGAGAAAACCGTGGCTGAAGAACGCGTAAACTTGAGTTGCGGCGTTTCCACTCGCTTGTCTTTCCGGCTTGGCCATATCACCAACTGCCAAGCCATTCCGGTACCTCCCGCTGTGCCTCCGTATCACAAGCATCGGACAGGCCTACATCAACTCAGAAGGCTTTACCTCATCACTCGGCTCTCTCCATATCCTCTACAATGCCGCGAGCAACATTACCGCCCACGCCGGCGTCTTCGACTGACATCCAAGGCCAGGATGGCTCCAAGGAGCTGACCTCCTTGCAAATGGCCTTTGAGCTTCCGCCGCCGGCCCTCGTCAGCGCTGCTGGTAGCGGCAACAACAAGGGAAGTCACACCGCCACGACGCCTACAAGTGCGACAGCTACGAACGCCGACACCAACATGTTATCACCTCCCATTGAGCCCAGCAGCAAACCTCCAGCTGTCTCGACGGGCACAAAACGGCCATCCTCGTCATCGCCTTCCTCCAAAACCGCATACCCTGTCCAAGCCGCTGAGACGGTCAAATCCCGCCGGCGGTCTTCTGCCTTGCAAGCTCAGGCACAGGTTCAGGCCCAGATACAAGCACAGGCACATGCCCAAGCTCAGACTACTACAACCGCGTCAACATCGTCCGCCAAGGATGCCTTCGCTCTACCACCACCGCCTACACGGTCACGCAAGATCATTCAAATGAAACCACGGACAGCAGCCAACTCTGGAGCTGGGAAGGGTAGTGGGAAAGATGCGAAGGATGCGAAAGATAAAATCGAAGGACCGGCTCCTGTGCCTACAGGAACGTCAAGCTCAGCCTCGACTACAAAGGGCAGCAGAAATAGTGCGGCGGCAGCGGCCGCGGCAGCCACTGCTGCCGCTGCCGCAGAAGACTCTGCGGCTACCGAAACTCCCGCCTCGGCGACAACAACAGCCTCAAAGAAAAAACAGCCGTCTGCTACAAGCGCTGCGGGTCGCAAAATTGCTCGCAAGACAGCACACAGCTTGATCGAACGGAGGCGGCGGTCCAAGATGAACGAGGAGTTCGCGGTGCTCAAAGGTATGATACCGGCGTGCACAGGCGAGATGCACAAGCTGGCCATCTTGCAGGCGTCGATCGAGTACGTGCGGTACCTTGAAGACTGCGTGGCCACATTGAAGGCACAGCGTGAAAGCGAGCAGCAACACCAACACCAGCATTCCAACTTCCCACCACTCTCGCCCAACACGCAACCACACCAATATCGCTCTGCCGCATATACGGAGGAATCAATATCGCCCGATGTGGAGATGACAGGTACCGGTGGGCCAGACGATGACGACAACGATGTACATCCGAACCGGAGAAGCAGGGGAGACGACGACGAAGATGATGAAGAAGAGGCAGAGGAGGACGATGAGTCGGAAAAAGACGACGATGAGCTGGGCGATGAGGATATGAACGCACACAAGAATACCGCCAGTAGTCGTCGGCGGCCGCAGAGACAGCACACAGCCTCTTCGTCGCCAGCCCTGCTTGCCCAAGATCGACCACAATCTGCTTTTGGCCGACAGTCGCACCAACAGGACGCCCGTCACAACTCACAGTCCTCCACGGAGTCATCACGTTACTCACCGTCCCTGGCAGCTGCTGTTTCAGCCTCGCTTACAGCAGCAGCGGGCAGCAATGACGCTCACCGTCGCCACTACGGCAGCTTCAGCTACCCTTCTGGCGGCGGCTTTACGATCTCTGCCCAGACGTCGCCAGCCTTTGGTCCACAGCAGCACCCATTGCCGTCTCTGCCACTTTCGACAGCTGCGTCGCCGTTTTTATACGGCGCCAGCGGTAGCGGCGCCGGTCTCCCCAACCTTGGTGGCGCAGGAACATCCAGTGCGGCTGCTTCTGTTTCCGGTTCGACGTTGACGAGTCCGGCCCTCCTGCCACAGCGGGACATGGACCAGGAGGCGACGGCGGCGTTGCTGATGTTGAACAGCGATCGTCGCGGTACGTCGGGGAGCGTCAGTGGAAGCGTCAGTGGCGGTAGTGGCAATGGTGCTGGAAACGGCAATGCAGCAGGAAGAGGGATGAGTGTGCAAGATCTGCTAACTACATAGACGACAACGTATAATGAGGGTCTGTGGTTGTATTTTTACTACACGATGTATGAGTCGGGCGGGAACAAGCTAATGGCCAACTACTTACAAGGCCACCCAAAACGGATATACATGTTACACCCGGGATGTGATAGATGAAAGGGAGGGACAGAGCATTGGAATTGGTTTCTAGACAGGCGCAAGGTTCTGGTTCGGATATGACACTGTTCGAAGTAAGTCATTTGGTGTTTAATATTCTTAGATTATTTCTGGTTTTTATTTATTCGTCCTCGTACCAAAAAAAATTATACAGATGAAGCTACCTTTCGCCCGACACAAAGAGGAGCGAGAAAAAACATACCAATAAAGCAATCTTCATACAGGTCATCAATAATCCTAGGATGAACGGCGTTTGTAGGAGAGCATGAGGCATAGGAACGCGCAAACAGGCAAGGTACACATCACTGTGGCACCGCCAAATCTTGTTCTTCTCAATCGGCGATTCGATGGCCGAGCAACCAGGCAGCACCATCATTTTCGGTTCAAAACAACTCATCTACGACAGGACATGACCACGGGAAGCGGGCCATGCGCGTCAGTCGCCTCAATTTGACGCGTCGCTGGTGGATGGGTGTCTATGAGGTGATCAGTCGGATCCCACCGCTTGTTAGAGCTGCCAACGAAGCCCGTCGCAGGGGTTTTGCTCCGTGCAGGGTGGCAGCACAGTGGGCCGGTTTGTGTTAGCAAAGACAAGTAGAGTATTTCACCCAGGTTGTAAATTTATTGTACAGTTATGGGAATTGATATTATTTGCTTGTAAACAGCAGTCATGTTTACTGAGTTCTGAAGGAAGAGGCTGCAGGTGCCTTCTTTCTTGAACATAACTGTCGTACAGTGTAGTTAGCCTATTTTGCACCAACAAACGCAATTTAGGACCAACACGTGACCTGCAGAAAAAAAAAATCGACCAGGGAGGCGCGATTGCTAGGGAAGGAGATTAAACTGCACGAGGCTGAAAGGTTCGTTTCCAGCGTCCTGTGGTGGCCACCAGCTTTTGTTACGAATTGCATTTCATCACACGGCGCATGTACGGCACCGAGGCCGGCCCCGAAACTTTAGACTGCATCTTATCTCCTTTTCTCGATACGATTGCGACAGCGATTTGTTTTTACGCGTTTCCTAGCATCGGACAGCCTGCGCCCTTGCCAGCCAACATGAGCGGCGCAAACGGCGAGCAATCGCCCGCAGCCGGAGCTGCTGCACCGGCGGCCGTTGCGACATCGGCCGTTGCCGGCTGGGTCGAGTACCGCAACGCTGATGGACGTGTCTACTACCACAATGCGGCGATGGGCAAGACGCAATGGACAAAGCCGGAGGAGATGTTGACGCCAGTCGAGGTACGTTGCAGAGGCGACGGGTGATAATGGCGATGGGTTGTTCTCCCCGTGGCAGTGAAGTTTGTTCTAACGTGATGTATAGCGAGCCCTTCTAAATCAGCCGTGGAAGGAGTACACAGCCGAGGGCGGTCGCAAGTACTGGTTCAACACTGAGACCCAGAAGAGCTCGTGGGATATGCCCGAAGCGTACAGAAAGGCACTCGGTCACGACTCAACACCAGCAACTCCAGCGTACGTAGCCACCTCCTATGATCCCCACTGTGTGTGTGTGTGTGTGTGTGTGTGTGTTTGCGTCAACTCACGTTGTGGCTCTGGCTGACCTTCGTTACGATCACAGCACCCCAGTGGCCATCCCGACGGGACCAGCTGCCCAGCGAGACCGACGCGACTACCAGCGCGACTACCGCGAGAACATACCCGAATCCCGCCAGCTGGCTTATGGCAACGGCCACGACGCACCGAGCGCCGCGGGCGCGCTCGTCCCGACCAACAGCGACAACCTGCCCGACTACCCCAACGCCGAAGAGGCCGAGGCCGCGTTCGTGAAGCTCCTGCGGCGCAGCGGTGTCCAGCCCGACTGGTCCTGGGAACAAGCCCTGCGTGCCATTGTGCGCGACCCACAGTACCGCGCCATCCGCGACGCCAAGGCCCGTCGCGCCGCGTTCGACAAATACTGCCAAGAGGTCATTGCCAACGACAAGGAGCGCGCCAAGGAGCGGCTCACCAAGCTACGTGCCGACTTCGCTACCATGCTCAAGAGCCACCCGGAAATCAAGCATTCTACTCACTGGAGGACAGCGCGGCCCATGATCGAAGGCGAGACAATCTTCCGCTCCACCAGCAGCGAGGCCGAGCGCCGCCAGCTGTTTGACGACTACGTTGACGAGCTGCGCCGCGCCCACCGCGAGCAGCGCACTGCCGCCCGCAAGACCGCCATGGACGGGCTCGTCGAGCTGCTGCCCAAGCTCAACCTCGAGCCCTACACCCGCTGGGCTGACGCGCGCCCCATCATCGAGGCCACGCCGCCCTTTGTGAATGACGAGAAGTACCAGTCTCTCAGCAAGTTTGATGTCCTGACCGTGTTTCAAACCCACATGAAGGCCCTCGAGCGGACCTTCAACGACGCCCGCCAGCAAGAAAAGACGGCCAAGCTGCGCCGCGAGCGCAAGAACCGCGAGGCCTTTGCCGCCCTGCTGGGCGACCTGGCCCGCGACGGCAAGATCAAGGCTAGCAGCAAGTGGTCACAGATCTTCCCGCTCGTCCAGCACGACCCGCGCTACCTTGCCCTCGTCGGCCAGAGCGCCGGCTCCACGCCCCAGGAGCTGTTCTGGGACCTCGTTGACGAGGAGCAGCGTGCCCTGCGCGGCACCCGCAACGACGTCGAGGACGTCATCGACGACAAGCACTTTGAGGTCACGCCCAAGACGACGTTTGACTCCTTCCTTGATGTGATGAAAGACGATCGCCGGACTGCTAACATTGACCGAGAGGTTCTTGCACTAATTTTTGAGCGAGTAAGTCATGACCCCTTCCGTTCCCTCTCTTGTTTTTATTTATTTATTTATTTCTATCTTTGCGTCTTATCACTCCGTACTAACCTTTCCAGCTGCAAGAAAGGAAAAAGGAGAAGCGATCCGACGACGACCGCCTGCAACGCCGGGCGCTGGACGACTTCCGCGCCCTTTTGAAACGCGTGGACCCGCCCCTCACGGCCACGGATACCTACGACAAGGTGAAACCCCGTCTCCAGAAGAGTGAAGAGTTTTTGGCTGTCTCGTCCGATGAGGCTCGTGAGGCCGCCTTTGACAAGTACGTGCGTCGCCTCCGTGACAGGGATGATGACGTCGGCGAGCGTGATAAAGAACGGATCAAGCAGCGTCGCGATCGCCGAGATCGCTCGGTAGACGACCGTGAGCGTGAGCGTGAGCGTGAGCGTGAGCGTGACCGCGACCGTGACCGCGACCGCGACCGGGACCGGGATCGAGACCGACGTCACCGTGGTTCCCGTCTCGGTGGCCGCTCTCGTTCACCCGAGGCCGACACCTACGAGGCAGACCGTCGTCGCGCCATGGCCGAGCGTGAACGCAACTACCGCAAATCGAGCGTGGCTGCCGAGAGCCTTGACGGGCGGGACCGGGAACGCGACCGGTCGCGTGGTGACCGAGACAGAGACCGGGACCGGCGCGACAGAGACCGCGATCGTGATTATATCCGTGATCGAGAGCGGGATCGGGACCGGGACCGGGACCGGGATCGGCTGCGCGACCGTGATCGGGAACGAGACCGAGACCGGGAGCGCGATCGTGACAGAGAACGCGAACGTGATCGCGAACGCGACCGGGACCGTGACCGGGATCATCTACGTGGCGACACAGAAAGCCACTACGATCGCGAACGGCGGGAACGCGAGGAAGAGCGTGAGCGGCAGTACCGGCGTCGCCTCGCCGACCGGAATCCTGCCGAGCTCAACTATGGCGACGACAAGCCGCCTTCGGTCCGCCGTCGCACTAGGGAAGACGACGATGCTGCCGACCGCCGCGACTCGCGCGACTCCAAGCGTCTGCGGCGTGACTCGCCGCGCGAGCGGACACCTTTGACGCGGGCCAGCACTCCCGCAGCGCCCTCGTCTGCTCCGACCGCGGCCGCCGGCGACAACGGAAAGTCCAAATCGACGACTGCAAAGGCCACAAAGCCGAAGTCGAAAAGCGCCGCCGCTGCCGCTGGTGCGCACGGAGAAGACATGCACAGCGGCAGCGAGGAGGGCGAGATTGAAGAAGACTAAGTTTCTTTTCGATTTTTTTCTTGTCGTCTGGTTGTGTGCATGAGGTGGTAACTCACGACCAGGGAATAAAATAAGCATCAAAGCGCTAGGTAGGAGAGGGCCTAAGCAGATTTTTCTGCCTCCCTCCATCTCCCTGTATTCGTTCTTTATTCTTATTTTCAGTACGTATCGGTCTTGCTATTGCTTTTCTTTTCTTTTTTCTTTTTTTTTTCTGGTTTTGTTTGCTGTGAAATCGAAAAGCACGGGGTCAAGTTTTGTTTACGGGAAAAACTAGGACAAGGAGTTTTCTTGACTGTTGCAAACTAATTAGCTTCGACCACACACCTATTCTATTCCGCAAGGATTCGTAATAAATAAAATGTAGCATACGTTTATAAAGGTCTCGTGGCAAAGTGAATCTACGATATAACCTAGGATTTTTTTTTGGTACAAAAAACATACAAATGAATTGTTGCCTTGTGCATTTTGCTATCTGCGCAGAACCTGTTTTAAATCGACTCGTTTTGGTCTTCACTAATTGATACCTAGGTATCCGTCCCCGGTTCCGTCCGCTTTCCACCTCCCCGACGGCAGTCATCCTACTTGGTCCATTGCCCCTCAATCTACTGCGTTGTAACAAGCGCCATCTCCTCGGTGAGGGTCTCGCGCAGGTTAGAAATCACTGTAGGACCAGGCAACAGGGGATAGACTGCCGTCAGCCGATGTTAGCCCTCTGGCTCATCATCGTCGCCGCCCTGGTCATTGTCATCATTGCCACCGTGGCGTGTACCGTTGGCCGTGGTAGCAAAAGCCATCGAGCTGCCGGTCGTCATGTTGTCGTTGTCGCGGTTGCAATCATCCTCGGCGCCGCTGTCCGTCTCGTGAGAAACTCCGCGGCGCGGGTCATGCGTCGGCTCGGACGCTTGGGAAGACGGCCGTACGGTCCATCTGGACAAGACCGTCTGCACGTGCACACGTTCGTTGAAAGAGCCCTTTAGGGCGCCCTTCATAACGCTTTGCTGTTGTCCTCTTCCAGGAAGAACTGTGTTTTTGTTAGTTTGCATAAACGATGGGTTTATAAAGGGATAGAGACATGAACGCACGTAGTTGCCGGCAGCCTTCTGCTCCTGGTCGAGCTGCGAGTTGCTCTTGTTGATACGCGGCCGGTAGTTGGTCGGGTCGCGACGGAACGTGACGTCCAGGTTCTTCAAGAACGTGTTGCAGCCCGTCAGCAGCGACTCGGGCGAGTTGGCATGAGCATTGATACCCGGTTGGCCGTCAAAGACAATGACACGGTCTGCCAGGTACGTAGCCATGATGAAATCGTGCTCGACAATGAACGCCGTCTTCTTGGCATGCATGATGAAGCGCTTGATGACACGCGCAGCAATGATACGCTGCTCGGAATCAAGGTAGGCGGACGGCTCGTCAATCAGGTAGATGTCGGCGGGCAGACCCAAGGCCAGAACAATGGCGACACGTTGCAGTTCACCACCAGACAGGTTCTTCACCTCCTGATCGATAAAGTCGTCAAGTTTGAGCGGCTTGACAACGTCTGTCTGGAACTGGGGCGATAGGAAGGCGGGGCGGATCTTCTTGAAGAACAGCTGGCGCACGGTACCGTCGAACTTGGGTGTGATGGTCTGCGGCTTCATGCTGATCTTCATCTCTGGTACGCGACTGGTGCCGTCCGGCTTCAGGGCGCCGGCGAGCAGGCGACAGAAGGTGGTCTTGCCCGTACCGTTCTCGCCCATGAGCACGAGGATCTCCGAGTCGGTGAAGTCGCCCGAGTCAATCTGTAGCTTGAAGTTGCCCATGGTTTTCTCCATCTTGGGGTAGTGGAACGCGCGAGAACGGTCGGCAATGAATTCGTCGGCACCCTCCGACAGCTTGAACGTCAACGACTCGTTACGGAACCGCAGGTTCTCTGTCGGGATGTGGCCGTCGAGGAAGATGTTGATACCCTCACGCACGGAGTGCGGCAGCGTCACGACACCATAAACAGCCGGCTGACCGTACAGCACGCAGATGTAGTCGGAGAGGTAGTCGAGCACGGACAAATCGTGCTCGACGACAATGACGTAGTCATCGCTCCGTAGAAGCGAGCGGATGATGCGGGCAGCCGACAGGCGCTGCTTGACATCGAGGTACGACGACGGCTCATCGAACATATAGACGTCCGCATTCTGCACGCAAACAGTGCCGATGGCGAAACGCTGCAGCTCACCACCAGAGAGGAGCGAGACGTCGCGGTCGTAAATGTGGCGCAGCTCGAGCGTGTCCAGCACCTCGTCCAGGTTGTCGAGCGATGTGCGGCTCTCGATCAGGAACTGGACCGACTTGTTGGGGCCGCGGATGGCCTTGGGGATCTGATCGACGTACTGCGGCTTGACAACGGCCTTGAGGTCGTCCTCCAGCAGCTTCGTGAAGTAGTTTTGCAGCTCAGAGCCACGGAAGTACTTGATGACATCCTCCCAGTCGGGCGGGTTGTCGTACTTGCCCAGGTTGGGCTTGAGCTTGCCACTGAGGATCTTGAGCGCCGTACTCTTGCCGATACCGTTTGTTCCCACAAGACCAAGGACCTGGCCCGGTCGCGGCGTGGGCAGGCGGTGCAGCTTGAAGCTGTTGGCCGAGTATCTATGCGTGACCTGGGAATCGAGGTTGGTGGGCAGGTTGATGATGTTGATGGCACCAAAGGGACATTTCTTGGTGCAGATACCGCAACCAATACACAGGCTCTCAGACAGGAACGCGATGCGGGACTCAGGCGTGACCTCGATACACAGCTTGCCGCTGCGCACGACAGGGCAGGACTTCTTACACTCCTGGCGACATTTCTGAAAGAAAACAATAGTTAGCTTGACTTCCGGTGAATTGATTTTGTTCCATGACGACGGACGTACCTTGGGTTTGCACTAAACATGCCGGGGAGCATAACGTCAGCAACGATCGATTTCAAAGCACACCTTCTCATGTCCTGCAGTCCCCCTATCCGTTTATCCTCCATTGGGCCGACGGTGATGTGTTCGTGGCGTCGGTCGTTCAAGAGTGCTCAACGGGCGCAGGAGGAGGACTGGCGGTACACACCTTGTCGCTGCTAACAATAGCAACACTGTAGGCAGAAAACTATTAGTATATGCTTCTCTTGAGTAAAGTCGTATTCTCGTCTACGCCCTGGGTCCATAATACGCACCGAGTCAGCTTGTCAGACATGTCGATGGCTTTGGTGCGACTTCTCGTGGAGGTCGTTGAGTTTTGGCGGGGTAGTTTGATTTGCGACAGGAATGAATGGCGGCACGTGTTTCGAACGTTCAAGGAAACGAAATAGAACAAAATTGAAGGCGAACGTCCTGCGAAATGGCGGTGGAAAAGAGGGCTGTCGGGACGTAACGACGAAGGAGTAAAGAAAGGCGGGAAACAGAAGCAAAGTGAGGCCAAAGTAAGAGCGGAAACAACGATGATGGCGACAATCCACAATAGCCAATTTTTTTTTGTGGTGAGGGACAGGGCAGTCGCGCTAGGGTGCTATGAGGGGCTTCCGTCTCGCAAACGGCGGTGGGCAGGAACTGCCTGTTCGAGTCATCGAGATTTAGGGGCGAGTGATAGGCTGCCTTCCAAGATGAGTAAGCTTATTCGCCGCTACAAGTTTTTTCCGGACCAGCAAGACGGCAGGAGCGTCTGTCTGCAGCAACGTATCTTACGGTCACTGATTTCTTCTGAATATGAATGGAGTGTTTGACTTGTGATCTAACCTTGAACTTTCAGAACGCTTAATCTCGAGAAAATAAGCACAGAATTCAGCCAATGCAACACTCGATCCAGTTGACTGTTATGCAAAGAGGTCTCGTTACCACATTTGCAGGTCGCGCTTTCCAAATCAGAGGCCAAACATAGCCACTTCTTCAATTAGACCCTGACAGCCTGGCCCATTGGTCAATGATATAGATATTGCTGGCCTACGACGTAAATAATCTTACATTGGCGGCTAGTCACCAAAAGCAACGCGAACGTACAGCATTGCAATTGTTGTGGTAGCCATGTGGCTAAAACGCTGTATGTTTCTTGGACGTCTTTGGCAAGCAGCATAGTGATAAAACCCTATTCTGAGCGAGCTCGTGCAGTGCTTCTTATTGTGCTTCGGGAAGTTGCAGGCCCTTCGTTCCTTCCGTTCAATAGAGACAGCAAGGCAGGCGCCAGTTCAGCTAGTCGCCTATATGAACACTCTTCAGCGAGTCAAGCACTGTAAAAACGGGTCTCCATTGGATTACATAAACAAACCATTGCCTGTGATTGGATTAAAGTCTGGTAAAAGCCTTGGCTCTTTTTTGCTGGCGCTTTCCACTTTTCTCTCGCCCTGGTCCCTTAGCTGAAATGCAATTCTCCTTCTCGCAGTTGACACCACACTTTTATCACACACATCAAAGTCACTCGCTAGATTCCCCATACTGACAACCGCCATTCCTCCACCACATCATCACCGGCAGCGACTATAAACCTTGAGCGGGCTTAGACCTTGTTCTCGACCTGGAGGTCGTTGAATATTCTTAAATGGTACGTCGGCTCATCTGTGCTTTGCAAGACACTGTGCGTTTTGCCCTGGGGGCATCTGTTGCCCTACTGCGTTTTTTCGCTGTACCTTGGCCATCGATCATCACCAAAATAGCGACGACCTGCATCGGGCCCATCTCAGATATATCCTGTCGCGAAGTGATCTGGGCGTTTCGACGTGTTTTGGGGGCTATGGTTTGCTGCTGCGGATGCCACGGTCATACTGGCCGCCGTTGCTTCTTGCCTGGGCATCCGCAATGCCTCACCGTCATCTCCCAGCCTCGTCGAGCGTCGCGATCCATCAAAGCGATGCGACAGGTCGTGCCCGGTGCCTATTCATGAATCGATCTGACGTGTTATGCGCTTTTTCTGTCGTTATATCGCGTAAAATCCCCTTGTTTGCTCTGCACATCCTCCGTACCGGAAAACCCTCACCGTCCTTGGCCGCATCATGCTGACCTCGCCGTCCATCACCAGATATCGTAGGATCACGTGTCTAAACATGTCGGCCTCGCCAGCATCGAGTCCACTCAATGGACACGCGTCTCCGGCACCCGAAACACCCGCGGCGAATGGCACTGCTGGCCACCTGAGCGACAGCGACCTGTCGGACGTCGAGCCCACCACATATACAAACGCGGCGTCCTCTTCGGCATCTGCGGCACCAGAAGAGTACGATGACGACGACGAAGACGATGATCTACCTGTCGCGAATGATTTTGAAGACGAGCCATCGGAGCCTAGCGACAACGATGCCTCGGACGACGCCGACTTTGACGACGCACAAAGCGACGCTGATGCCGACGCTGATGCCGACGCGGATCCCGACCTAGACGTCGCCGCCCTTGACCGCGATGAAGAAAGCCCGGCCTCGAGTGACTCTGGTCATGCGCCAAAACGGAAGGCAAGCGCAATGCTTGCTGAGGATGAATATATGCGGAGCAACCCAGAACTTTACGGGTTGCGGCGTAGTGTAAGGCCCCTTACCGCTTCTCACCGCCGACCGGACCCCGGCTCTCCTCAACATTGCTAACCACAATCTACAGTCACGGCCCGTACTGCGGCGTAAGATTGTAAGCAAACCATGCTTTTCTGTCCCTTCCAACGTCCTGCTTTGGGTAACTAATTGTGTCCTAGGTGTCGGATGACGACGACTCAGACGACCAGCCCGTGGTTCGCCGGAAGCCGAAGCCGCGACGGCTGCTCGAGACATCACGCCAATGTATGCTCTACACCCTTCATCATATGCTTCTGTACCTTCAGGCCGATTCTGTCTATGCCTATCTGCACCCACAGTCATGCTCTTGCCATTGCTTCATTTAAACCCCTCCTCATTTTCCTTTGTTGCCTATAGCACCACACCACTTCCGACTTATTCCTCCTTCTGATGCCAAAGTAAACAAACTAACTCTTATTCCCCGTATATAGCTTCGAAACGAGGTACTCCGGCACGGAACACATCCGTCGACGAATCAGACTCCGACAACTACGGGGGCGCCCGTGCCCGCAGCTTCCAAAAGAAGGCGCGCCGCAAGCAGGAAGCCCAACCGTCGCTGGCCTTTGCCGAGAAGAGATGGTCCAGCCGTCGTGCTGCCCAGGTATCTGTCGGCAAATACAACGAGAGCGATTTTGAGGACGATGACGAAGACGATACGACACCTGTCCAGTGGGTACCCGAAGTGGAAGACAACTCTCCCTACATCGAGAAGATCGTCCGACACCGGGAAAAGGAAGGCGTCACCATCACGCCCGACTCCAACCGCCATGACTACGAATACTACGTCAAGTGGCAAGGGAAGTCCCATTTACACGACACGTGGGAGACAACTGCGTCTGTTGCCGGTTTCCGTGGCTTTCGTCGACTTGAGAACTATTACCGTAAAATTGTAGAGTTCGAGCTCGATATGCGCTTCGGTGGCGATGACTACAGCCCGGAGCAAAGAGAACAATGGCTGCTCGACCGTGAGCGCGAGGAACAAGCACACGAGGACTACACCAAAGTAGAGCGCGTTGTGGCCAAGCGCAATGGCGAAGAGGGCGTCGAATACTTTATCAAGTGGAAGGGCCTCCAATACGACGAATGCACATGGGAAGCTGCGGAAACTGTCAGCGAACATGCTCAGGACAAGGTCGACCAGTTCTTGGATCGCTCGTCTCGATCCTGGACGTCCGACCGGACAGAGACTAGCCTCAACACACGCTCTCGCATGACGAAGCTTGACACCCAGCCGTCCTACATAAAGAACGGTGAGCTCCGCGAGTTCCAAATGAAAGGTCTCAACTTCCTTGCCCTGAATTGGACGCGAGGCAACAACGTCATCCTCGCCGACGAGATGGGTCTGGGCAAGACGGTACAGTCTGTATCCTTCCTCAGCTGGCTACGCAACGACCGTGGACAAGAAGGGCCTTTCCTCGTCGTTGCGCCCCTCAGTGTCATCCCTGCGTGGTGCGACACCTTCAACCATTGGGCGCCCGATCTGAACTACGTCGTTTACCTTGGCCCTGAATCCGCGCGCAATGTGATCCGCGACTACGAACTGCTTGTCGATGGCAACCCCAAGAAGCACAAGTTCAATGTCCTCGTCACTTCGTACGACTTCATTCTGCAGGACTGGGAGTTCCTTAAGAGCATCAAGTGGCAGGTATTGGCTGTCGACGAGGCGCACCGTCTCAAGAACCGTGAGTCGCAGCTCTACAGCCGCCTTGTCAGCTTCAACATCCCATGCCGCGTCCTCATTACCGGTACGCCAATACAGAATAACTTGCACGAGCTCTCGGCCCTTCTTGATTTCCTCAACCCTGGCAAGGTTGTCATCGACGATGACCTCGTCCAGCTTGGAATGGCAGATCAAAAGACAGAGGAAGAGAACGATGACGATGACAAGCGCCGCGAGACGCAAGAGAAGCTTACAAGCTTCCACGCAGCCATCGCTCCCTTTATTCTACGCCGGACCAAGGAAACAGTCGAGTCAGACCTGCCGCCCAAGACGGAAAAGATCATTCGTGTCGAGCTTTCGGATGTTCAACTGGACTATTACAAGAACATTCTGACTCGCAACTACGCCGCCCTCAGCGACGCAAGTGGTGGCCAGAAGCAATCGCTGCTGAACATCATGATGGAGCTGAAGAAAGTCAGCAATCATCCTTACCTGTTTCCCGGCGTTGAAGAGAGCGTTCTCAAGGGCAGCGAGCGCCGAGAAGACCAAATCAAGGGTCTCATTGCCAGCAGTGGTAAGATGATGCTTCTTGACCAGCTTCTGACAAAGCTCAAGAAGGACAACCACCGTGTTCTCATCTTCAGTCAGATGGTGAAAATGCTCGATCTTCTAAGCGATTATCTCCGTGTCCGTGGCCACACGTTCCAACGTCTTGACGGCACTATCCCCGCCGGTCCTCGCCGTATGGCCATCGACCATTTCAATGCCGAGGGCAGTGACGACTTCTGCTTCCTACTCTCCACCCGCGCTGGTGGTCTTGGCATTAACCTCATGACCGCCGACACGGTCATCATCTACGACTCCGACTGGAACCCTCAAGCCGATTTGCAGGCCATGGCGCGTGCGCATCGTATCGGCCAAAAGCGCCCGGTCAACGTCTACCGCCTCGTCGCAAAGCAAACCATTGAGGAGGAAGTCATCAAACGCGCCCGAAACAAGTTGTTCCTTGAGTACCTGACGATTCAGGCCGGCGTTACGGACGAAGGCAAAGAATTGCGGGAGCAGTTCAAGGAGAAGGGCTTGAAGATAGACGAGGCCAAGACGGCCGAGGACATCCAGTGGATTCTCAAGATGCGCTCGCAGAACTTGTTTGAGCAGTCTGGAAACCAAGAAAAGCTCGAGCAGCTGGATATCGACAGCATCCTCGAGAACGCTGAGGTTACCAAGACCAATGTCGACGACAAGCTGAATCTGAGTTCCGGTGGCATCGACTGGGATAACTGGATGCAAGTTACCGATGTTAAGGTGGACGAGCTTGCCCTAGACTGGGACCAGATTATCCCTGCCGATAAACTCGCTGTCATCAAGTCGGAGGAAGAGAAGCGCCTACACGAGGAGTATCTCAACAAGGCAATGGAAGAGAACGCGCCGAGACGGGCGACCCTCAAGAAGAGGAACGCCGCGGCCGTCAACGACTCTGACCGGGCGGACCGCCTCGCCAAGAAGCGCCAGCGCGAAAAGCAGGAGCAGGAAGAGTACGAAGAACGACAAGCAGCTCTGCGCGATCCCCGCCGTCCTCTCAACGAGAAGGAGACGCGAAACCTGATTCGCGCCCTGTTCCGCTATGGATCCTTTGAGGACCGCGGCGAAGAGATCATTGCCGACGCGCGATTGGGAGACCGTGACCGTGACTTTATGCGATCTGTCGTCGAGGACCTTGTTTCTATGAGCCAGCAGGCTGTCGACGCCAACCTCGCGCGCATCCGCGAAGAGCAAGAGAAGGCTGGCAAGGCGCTCGCAAGAAAGGACAAGAAAGCTGTTCTGATCGATTTCGGCGAGGTGAAAAAGATCAATGCCGAGACACTTGTTGAGCGCCCTCCTCAGCTTCGCCTTCTTCGCAAGGTGCTTGACGAGCATGGCAACCCTCACTCCTTCCGGCTTCACGACGCCAGCAAAGCTGCTCACTACACTTGCGAGTGGGGCGCACGCGAAGACGGCATGCTTCTCGTGGGCATCGACCGCTACGGCTTCGGCGCATGGACGCAGATCCGCGACGACCCGGAACTGGACATGGCCGACAAGTTCTTCCTCGAAGAACATCGCGTGGAGAAGAAGGAAGAGCGCAAGAAGGGAGACGAAAAGAGCATCTCGTCGCCCGGTGCTGTCCACCTTGTTCGCCGCTCGGAATACCTGCTCTCTGTCTTGCTCGCCAAATATTCCGACGACGCTGCTGCGCAGAAGGCCGTTGAGAACCACCACCGAAGCAAGAAGACTGTCAACGGCCACCGCCGTGGTGACGATCTCTCCCGCTCGCCGGTGCCTGCCAAGCGGTCCAGCATGCTGAAGAACCGTGACCAGCGCGATCGACCAATCTCGAACAGCGACTACCTCAATCTCCGCCCGCAGAATAACACCAGCGGTGGCGGCGAGCGTCTGTTGACACCTCGGAGCGATTTCAAGCGGAAACATGAGCACGATCATAATGATCGTGACCGCAAGCAACGCCGAATTATCGACGGCGACCGCCGTGACAGCAACGGTGTAGGACCAAGCAGCCACAAGGACGGCCAGCCCAAGGAAAAGCGTAAGAAGCTTGACGCCGAGACCCTCGAGCAGCTCAAGGCGGCCCAGAGCAAGGCTGTGCTGCGGTTCGAAGAGCTCATGAAGCTCGATGACAGCAAGCTGGATTACCGGGACGACGAGCAAGTTATGTGGTCCCTTCTTAAGCCGGTACGCGACAACTTCAAGACAATCATGGAGACAACGCCGGAGCGGGTCGAGAAAGCCAAGGAGCGTGCTGCGATTATGGGCAAAGAGCTGCGACAGATTGGCGACTGCGTGATTGGCCTGAAAAAGAATCAGGCCATACCGGCCGCCACCCTCGACGCGCTCATGCCCCGGTTTTGGGACTTTTTGTCGTCGATCTGGCCTATCAACGAGGTCGCGGTGTCCGGAAGCCAACTCTCCAAAATGTACGAAGCGCTCCGGGCCAAAGATGAGAAGGGAAGCGGCGGCGGCAGCACCAGCAACAATGGCAGCAGCCGGGCCGACCGGCCTAGCCGCGATGACCTTGAAGACGGCGAAATTGATAGTGAACGCGACAGTCACAGGGATTCGCGGCGCGATCACGAGCACCGAGACAGCCGAGACAGCCGGGATAGCCATGAGCACCACGACCGCGACCGCGACCGCGACCGGGATCGAGATCGAGACCGTGAGCGTGACCGCGACCGGGACAGAAACCGCGACCGCGAGCGTGATCGAGGCGGCGACCGCGGAAGAGACCGCGAACGTGAGCGCGACCGCGATGTCTTTCGCCGCAGCACTGGGCTCTTGGGCGACCTGCGTCGCGACGACCGCCACGGCAGCACCGAGTCGAGGTCGTCACCCTATGCCGCCGAGACAGGCGACCGGCTGAGCTTCCGCAAGGACCCGCGCCGCGACTACCAGCCGCAGCGAGAATGGGACAGGCTGCGGCCCACGCCCTGGCAGCAGCAGCAGCAGCAATACACGGCTTCGCGGCCCAACCCGTACTAGGATGAACGGGATAAGCGCTCGAGAGCCCCAAAAACGGACCGGTGGCGCCCGTCGCGGTCTAGATCGCGGTCCCAGAGACGCCACTCTGTATCAAGATCGCCCAGACACCATTCTGGGTCGCGGTCATCCAAACACCGTTCTGGGTCGCGAACGCCCAGCCATTCTGGGTCAAGGTCGCCCAAACACCGAGACACGCCATAACGAAGACGAACACCATGGCTCTTCACGAAGAAAGAAGAATGTTAATGGGGACGCAAAGTTGCGTAAGAGGCACGAGATGGACGGAGGACTCTGGGAACTAGAAATGGGATAGGAAAGGAAAAAGCATGTCCTCTGGGTAATCGCCATCATTGTATTGTTTATGTTGATTTTGCTTTCTTCGTTCATTCAGACCGCGTGTTCCATTGTTTGTTGTTTGTTTGGCATGTCCTTACTTTGTCATTGTGTATCTCACGGCTGAAGCCCACGAGAGACAAGACATAGGACGGAGAGCACCGCATGGAGACTCTCTTGTACAAGAAAAGGCGGGTTTGGTTTGTGTTTTGTGTGGTCTTATCTTTTCTGTTCCTTTTCTCGATGTTTGTTCTGTCCCATCTGTTCCGACATACAAAAAAGGGCTGCATATGGCAAAGGAGTTTTTGGATTCCCAAGGAGGCGGATACAAATAAAAAAGGGGCTTGTGATCTGCGAGGAAAAAACTAGACCAGAGGACGTACACCTCCAAGGATACAAGCACCAAACATTGTTCAATAAATACCATTATGACTGTCACGTTCCTTGCCTGTCCTGGCTTGAATCTGTGGTATCTTCATAAGTGGTGTCGTCTCTCGGCGCAGACTTGCCTTTTCATGATACTTGACTGTTTGCGTATTCGTGTGGCGAGATATTGTTTACCTTGTTTACCAATGGTTGTGTCACTTTGCATCCCGAGAAGGCAAAAGACTAGGCATATCAGTGAATTCATTTCTTTCCTTGCCCGTGATTATTTTGCCTCTCCTGTTCGTCTCGGTCGTTTCGTTCCTCTGAAAATGCTGTGTTCTTCACTTGTGGTGTCGTATATCTTCGTCATATAATTATTCCAAAACAACGTTTGGACCGGCTCTCATTCACTGCATTATCTTACAATGCCTACACAACTTGAAGACGCATAGTTGACATGTTGTCGTCGTCGTTGGGCACTAACAACACAGAAGTCACACGTGTTGTTCAGGGGATGTTCCTGAAAAGTCCGCAATATTGGGCCGTCGTGTCCCTGGCACGTGGAAGGCTTCTGGCGGTTTATTTGGCCAAAACGTGAGACACAATGGGCGCCGCCATTTATTATCCCTTTCCCTTTTCTTCCTCTTTCGCACTTCGGATTGTCGTCCTCTTCTCATGAACGGGCTGTCGCAGGGAAGACAAGTTTGACCGTGGTGCAGCCAACCCGGGAAGTCCTCGTATTCCTCTGCTATTGCTTGATTTTTTTAAAGTGTTTTCCTCCCCAAACATTTTCTCTCTGGGAGTTCCCGCGCCGTCTTTCCCTGTCAAGGCTACCCTCCTTCGCCACCCGCCTTGCAGTGTCTCTGATTTTGGGCCTTGCATATCCCGCCAATCGACTCGTATCCATTGATCAGTGAGCGGACAAAATTTTCAATGGCCGCGGAACCGCCGTTGACGGGATGCAATCAAGTCCGCAACACCATGTCTGGAGTCGAAATCGGGGAATCTAGGACAATCTCATTTTTTTCTTAATTCTGCACGATGTGCTAGAATGTGGTAGATTCTGAACAGCCTCTATTTACGACATATTGGGTAGACCTTTTGCAAATCGTGCAATTTTAGATCTGTTATTGACAAATGGGCCCTGGCCAGATTGCGCGCTATTTCCTGGCAACGATGTCCTATTTGCGCTGTTCCTGGTTTATTTTTAGCGTTCCAAAGCCTCCGTCTGGCCACACCCAGGTACGGGATCGTGCTCTCCCTTTAGCTGTGAAGCTTTGCTAGTCTTTCATGTAATTACTGTGTAGATATTTTTCTGGGGACCACCCACTTGGGCTATGTTCCGGTTGGCTTCGATGGAAATGAATGGCACACCCTGACACCCCAGCCAAATGCCACTGGAACTCAAGAGCCCATATCTGGACACTGCCGTTAGCGGGTGACCTTGCTGAAAGCGGACTGTCCTTGGGTGAAGACTTGGAAAGTTCGCTGCATTCGCTGTGCTTGCCCGAGCAAAAGTAATTGTTTCAGTAACGAATGGAGCAGGTACGAACAGAGTATTTTCGTCGTGGGAAGTACTGGTCGTAGTTGTCGTACCTGGTGGGGCTTGCACCTCAGTGGCCCTGTGGGTCGCCTTCAGGGGCAAAACGAGGAAAGAATGGCGGCCGCAAACAAAATACAGCTTACAACAAATCAGGTTTTGCCCCGCCCAGCAACCAAAGAGCTTCCCCTCCTTGCTGTTGCTGCCATTTGTGGTCAGTGTGACACCGTTGACAGTGCAAGGTGCAACCACGACTGACTCCAGGTGAAAGAGCTCGACTGTCGCAATTTCCCAAACGGGACATATTTGAAAATAACTCGGAAGGCGCAACGTATTATTTGCTCCATCTTCTACTTCTCACAGTGACATCGACCTCTTTCCGTCTCCATCCTAATACTTTTGTGCCACTACAAAGGAAAGAGCTACTGAGGGATGGCGGCAAATGGAGAAAGAAGCTCCCAAGCTCGCCTCCTTTTCCCGTGGGTTCTTTGTCATTCCTGCCAGCTTCCTCGTCCATTCCTTCCCAGTCTGCATCCAAACACCTCGCCGTCGTCGAGGCTTCCTTTTCCTTTACAGAGGCAGTGACCCACTTATCAAGAATATCGTACAATGAGCACGCAAGTGCCAAAACGGAAAGGAAAGAAGGCCGAAAAGGGAAGAAGGATAATATTGCACCGTAGCGACCGCGGCCAGGCTTGTTCCTTCTGCCAGCGATCCCCCTCCACCCCCCCTGTCGACCTTTTTTATTTGCCGTACTGTCATTCCCAGTCTCCAATCTCCCTTTGTCACTTCTTCACAGAACCCCCTGTACAGTTTGCCCCCTTTCTATTCGTTGCCCGAAGCTGTTTTCGAACTTCTGGACCTCTCTTGTTCTCTGCTGTTCGTTCTTTACTGTCCTTCTTCCTCTTTCTCTCCTCTCTCCGACTCCTCCCCTTCTCTTTTCTACATCTCCAGATTCTCCAAGCTCTGCCTCCAAGCTCTGCTACCACAGCTTCGTTTCTTGTGAGTTGCCGTTGCCCAGTTGCTGCTATGTTTTTGTTCTTTTCTCTGTTCTTGCCCTTCGCCTCCACCTGCACCCTATGTCCTACCGAGTTCTCTTGCCTCTCGATGCAGCCTCTTTACAGATAGCTTGGCAAACGGCCCTTGCTCGGCCTACTCTGCAGAAGAGCTTGCAGAACACGGCCGCAGAGCTGGGGGTCAACCAAGACATGCACAAGACGCACACCGGCATGGACGAGATCGATGAACCGAACAACCGCAAACCTCCCACGACTACAAGCGATACAATCCAGCGAGTGTAGCGCCGGCGTCCCGATAATTCCCCGACTCGAGTTGCGACCTGCATCTTCCTAGCCTGTGGGCTTCAAATGCCTGCAAGCCTGCTTGCAACCTGCTTGCAGCTGCATCTGCGTTCGTCCCGACCGCCAACAACCGCTTTTAGCCTTTTCCACCAAACAGACATCTCTCAAAAGTCGCTCTTACACACAGCATACCCACACAACACACCCCCGCCAAAACCCTCAGCGCAACCTGCCTTACTTTTACCGCCTCCTGCAAGCCTCGACCTCCCCAACATTGACTGTTGTTTTGCTGCTTTTTCCGTCCAATGATTTGATGCTACCTGACCTGGCAGTCACATTTTGATGGGATTTTCATGCGTCGATCACGTCGATTACGTCAATGTAGCTAACTTTTCTTTTCTTCCCTCCAAAAAGTAACCAAACACGAAAATCAAAAGGCCTAGATCGAGGCAACCAAAAAGGCGAAAAGAAATTTCTCGGTAAGCTGCCAAACTCGCGCCGGCCTCCTTTCTCGACTTTCAGAAGGTACCAGGCCTTGCTGGTCCTTCCCCGGCTTTTGCCACCCCTCTCCCTTTAAAGCTCTCCCCTCTCCCCATTTTATGAAGCAATTCACTCTCTTTTGCTTTCGCATCGTGAAGCACGCTTCAATTCTTTCTTACTGTCTGTCGTGCTGCATTTCGCAAACCAAGCTAACTTCCGACCTTTTAAGGCGAGTCCCGTCACCCCTCATTACATCACCACTTGCAGCGCGAACATTCCCACCGGATTCGCGTACCTCCACACTCGTCTCGCAAGCGTTTACTTCCAACAAACCTCTCCACCACCATCTGCAATCATGTCCGGCGTTAAGAGCTCGCTGCCCTCGCACATCAAGGCCACTGGCAGCATTGGCGGCGACGACGATGGCAAGAGACACCATGGCAAGACTCAGTCCCACATGGTAAGTTGTGCTTTCTACACGTGCCCCTGTGCTAGACAGGGCAGACGATTGACGATTAAACTGCGATCCTCTAGGCGTTCGAAAACACGTCCACAAACATTGCGGCTGCGCAAATGCGCAATGCCCTGACTGAGCTCGCCGAGACCGTCACAGACCCCGCAGAGAAGAAGGCAAGTCCGATTCCGCCATTCATCCCGCATTCTGGTGCAAAACGAAATGCTAACACTACCTTAGCTGTTTGAGACGGAGATGGACAACTTCTTTGCTCTCTTCCGCCGGTACTTGAATGACAAGGCCAAGGGCAACGCTGTGTACGTATTGTCCGAGAACGACGGCCCGCCAAGGATATCACATTGTGTTGGGTCGGGGGAGCCACAACTAACATTTACAACAGTGACTGGGACCGCATTGCCCCTCCCGCACAGGGCCAGGTCGTCGACTACGACGACCTTGGCAGCTCCGAGGGTGTTGCCTTCCTCAACAAGCTTGCCGTCCTCAAGCTCAACGGTGGCCTCGGTACCTCCATGGGCTGCGTTGGCCCCAAGTCCGTCATCGAGGTCCGTGACGGCATGTCCTTCCTCGACCTGTCGGTCCGCCAGATCGAGTACCTGAACCGCACCTATGGGTCCAACGTGCCCTTCATCCTGATGAACTCGTTCAACACCGACGCCGATACTGCCGCTATCATCAAGAAGTACGAGGGTCACAACGTCGACATCCTGACTTTCAACCAGTCCCGCTACCCCCGCATTTTCAAGGACTCCTCGCTGCCTGTCCCCAAGTCCTTTGACGACCCTACCGACGCCTGGTACCCGCCCGGCCACGGTGACGTGTTCGAGTCTCTGTACAACTCGGGTGTCCTCGACAAGCTGATTGAGCGCGGCATCGAGATCATCTTCCTTTCTAATGTCGACAACCTGGGTGCGGTTGTCGACCTGCGCATCCTGCAGCACATGGTCGAGACCAAGTCCGAGTATCTCATGGAGCTCACCAACAAGACAAAGGCCGATGTCAAGGGTGGCACCATTATTGATTATGACGGCTCGGTCCGTCTGCTGGAGATTGCGCAGGTGCCCAAGGAGCACGTCAACGAGTTCAAGTCCATCAAGAAGTTCCGCTACTTTAACACCAACAACATCTGGATGAACGTCAAGGCTGTGAAGCGTGTCGTTGAGAACGACGAGCTGGCGATGGAGATCATTCCCAACGGCAAGACCATCCCCGGTGACAAGAAAGGCGAGTCCGACATCTCGATTATCCAGCTGGAGACCGCCGTCGGTGCCGCCATTCGCCACTTCCACAACGCGCACGGTGTCAACGTACCGCGTCGGCGTTTCCTGCCCGTCAAGACCTGCTCTGATCTGATGCTGGTCAAATCGGATCTGTACACCGTCAAGCACGGCCAGTTGCAGATGAGCTCCAACCGCTTCGGTGATGCGCCGCTGATCAAGCTGGGCAGCGACTTCAAGAAGGTTTCCGACTTCTCAAAGCACATTCCTTCCATCCCCAAGATCATCGAGCTGGACCACCTCACCATCACTGGTGCCGTCAATCTGGGACGTGGAGTGACTCTGAAGGGCACAGTTATCATTGTGGCCACGGAGGGCAGCACCATCGACATCCCGCCTGGCTCGATCCTGGAGAATGTCGTTGTCCAGGGCAGTCTGCGGCTGCTTGAGCATTAAGCGTGTTGTATGGGTCGGGCTTGCATTTGCGTTGCTTATCCTTTGATGTTAGTCTTGTATGGGAGCTTTTGCTTTCGCTTTTACTGGTTCTGGAATTATTCTTTTCTTGGCTTCGGATGCTTTTTAATTGCCTAATTTGCCTCCTATTTTTTTCCCCTTTTTGCTCTCTTCACCTCTTTATTCTATCTACGTAGACGGACATTGTGCGATGCGTTTCGGAGTGTCGCAAAAGCCTAACTAGCGATTAAAAAACAAACAGCCAGTTTGCAAAAATACAAACCCCAAAAACACTGTACTTCAATTGCATTAAATAGAACGGGAACATTTCAAGAAAATACGGTGAGAGGTTGCAGGCGAGTTGTATGCGAACTCGAGCGTTTGCATTTAGTAATGCATTCTCCAGTCCTCGTGTCGGACCTAGCACATAGTCACAGCAACATACATCAAGGAGTTTCTTATGTTTTTCGCCTGGTCACCCACGCTCCTCAGACAGGAAACGTTCAAAATGGGTTGGGTATCAATATATTCATTATTTTAACTTTTGGGGGGCATAAGGCATAAAGGTACAGTGGCTGTACTGATCATGATATTTTCTCGTTTTTATCAATCGCCCTTCCTATTGCCCGGTCGTTGTTAGTTTGGGTTCCGTTCATTTTCGTCAGTGGGTTCCCGATCCGGCATTACGTTCATAGCATCCGGGTTCGACGGAACGGTCGACAGTCGCGGGCGTCTTGGCGGAGAAAGCCGTATTGCCAAGGCAGCCGATTGTGCCATGACGAGTTCACGGGACAGTTGTCTGTAAGGGGGCCGTCCCTATTTGCCCTTTTTTGTGGCTGCCGGTGTCGCTCGGTCAGCGGCACTGCCTTCGCTCGTCGGTGTGCCAGCGGCATTGCCCGCAGAAGCAGTGGCGCCGCCACCAGAGCCAGGGCCGCTGCTGCCATTCGCACCACCGTTGCCACCAGCGTCGGCCTTATTTGGGCCGCTGCCTGAGCGGCTCGCGTGCTGGCCGCCAGTCCCAACTACAATGCGGCCTTCGCCGCCGCCGGCGGCCTTGTTCTTCTTTTCGGTGCATACCGGGCAGTACCAGGTCCCGTTGGGCTCGCTCTTGAGGCCCACGCACGTCCAATGGAACCACTCAAATGGACAGTCCTCGTTGTCGCACGCCACCATGTCGCCAAAGCTTACGTTCTGACACAAGCAGTATTTGTTGTCATCACCAGCTTCCTCGTCATCGATGTCCATCCGGTCGTCACTTGAGGGTGCGCCCTTGGCCACACCACGGCCGCCCGGCTTGTCACCGGCCCGGTGCTTATTAACACCACCGCGACCAGGTCCGCCAGGTCCACTACCGGGCCCGGACTGTCCGCCCGCATTGCCAGATGCGTTGCCCACGCCACTGGAAATGCCACTGCTGTTGTCCTTTTCGCGCTTGACCAACGGCTGCGACGCGCCTGCTTCCTTGTTTCCTGCACCATTGCCGTTGCTACTGGCGCCATTCCCGTTCGCAGCCGACCCAGCGTTGGAGCTGGAGCCAACTTGTGAGGAGCCGCGCGTCGGTGTGGCATGTCGTGATGAGACGTCGGAATCGTCGCTGGAGCTCGCGTCGGAAAGTTCGGATTCGTCCGCTGTCGAAGATGCGGCTGAGGCCTTGGCGGGTCGCTTGACGCGTGATAGCGACGTCTTGGTGGTCGGTGTGTTCGTTCCTGTGGTGCCCTTTTTGCGCCCAGAACCAGATCCCTTCTCGGGTCCTGCCGCAGCGCCTGCCGAGCCGTTGACCGCCGGCGTGCTCCCTTTACGCCCCGGCCCAATGCCAGCGCCTTTTGCGATTGCACGTGGTCCGGCGCTTCCAGCTCGTTGGACGCCGCCAGCGCCTGCGTGGTGAGACTTTGGTGTTCCAGGTCCCAAGGACGAGTGCCGCGCAAGCCCGCTGGAGGCTGGCGGGATATTGGCGAGTGAGCTGCCCGCGCGCGGTCCACGTTTGCCCGGGGCCGTACCTGGGCCGGCAGAGCTCTCACGCGCCTGCCGGCCCAGAATCATCGATGCTGCGGGGCTAGCGGGCGCCGACGATGAGTGCCCCTGCTGAGCCTGAGCCTGAGCCTGGCGGGCCTGTGCATTGCCGGCGCCACGACCACCTCCCACCGCAAGCACCGTGTTTCCAGCGCCGCCACCATTCAGAGACGCGGACCCGGCGGCGGCTTTGGTGGCGTTCTTAATCATGTCGCTAACAGATGCTGCTGGGAGAGAGGACGACGCGGCAGCAGAGGCGCGTGCGGACGCCGCTGCCGATTTGTTCGCAGCGCTCGGTCGTAGGAGGGAGGGAAGTTCGTCGGGGTCGGTAAAGCCGGGCTCGCTGCGATCGTAGAGCTGCTTTATTTGCATGTCAAGCTGGCGCATATGGCGGTCCATGATGGTCCGCATCTTTTGCGACAGGGCCAGTTTCTCGTCGGCCAGCACCTCGGCCTTCTTGAAGTTCTCTATAATCGTCTTACGGTAGCCCTCTTCTCTTGGGTTGTGGTCGTGACTGCTGTTCGCCTTTATGAATTTTTGGATGCGGCCATCGCGCTCTTCGATGATGCGGATGCATTCGTTGTACTGGCGGTCTTTGTCGGCAATCTCGTCCTGGAGGAAGCGGATCTCCTCCGGCAGGTTCTGAACCCTATTGATCCAGTCGTCCAGGATGAGCGCTGGGTCGAGCGCCTCGCCGCCGGGCGGCATTCTCTTAACAAAGTCGATGGAGAGGTCGTCTCTAGGCATGGTAATAACGTGTCAACACAGACGGGGCAATGGAAGGGCAGGGTGCCGCGGACGGCGACTCTGAGCAACGAGAGGGAAAGGCGCGCCGGTCTACGCCTGACGAGACCATGGAAAGGGCGGTGCGCGTGCTGGAGACGAAAAAAAAACTGCAGAGTGTGGTGATGGGAAGAAGCACTCGCGAATATGCAGATGCTTCAATGCGCAAAACTCGCACACTGTCGAACAAGCAACAAAAAATACACCAAAAAACAGGCTGGCTGCCCTCCAAAATTGAAATGCAAAGGGCTGTGAAATGACAACGAATGTGAAATGACAATGTGTATGTTGCGAATTTTGGAAATGAGGTGAATGGGAGAGATCAAGTGGAACAAGTGTTTTTACAGATGGGGAAATGCCATAGAATACGCCGTTGAGGCAGGCGGGAATGGTGGTGGCAGGAGGCAGGAACGCCCATAAAAAGTAGTGGAAGTCAGTGGATAATGAGTGTCGTAGCTTACCTCCCGTCTGCTATGTTGTGATTTTTTTACAATGTGAATCTAGAGCCGGCCTTGCTGCGTTGGGTTGGCAAGGAAGGCACGCTAGACAGAGCGTGGACGGAAAAGGAAAGAGGGCCCGCCGAAAAATAGGTGCAGCCAGGCTTGTGGCCCCGACTCAGATGTTGCGGCTGTCCGCTGCGGGAGGGTGGGTGCTGAGAGAGTCAGTCTGGACCCTTGTCGCTTGGAGATCGTAATCTTTGTGGCACCTCGAGATAAATAAGTCGCAAAAGGACGACAGTGTGAACTGGAGAGAGGATGATGAGATATTGGTGGAGAGAGGGAAAGAGCAAGGCGAGAAAGAGACGTCCGGTTGTGCGAATATGTGTATGGGGCAATCCAGGCAACAGAGAGAAGGCGCGGGACAGCCGGCAACCGCTACAACAAAAAAATAAAGGAAGGAACCAAGTTTGGTATGAAAAGAAGGATCTTGAAAGAGGTAGGAGCGACAGACAAGGGGAGAAATAGAATATTGCAGATGGATATCGAAACGTCGGGGAAGGGGCGAACGGGCGCAATCAGTGAGAACTCGTCATTCACAAGAGGAAGCGCGATGCAAGTCGGCTAGGGAAAAAGTTTCAGCCTTTTCGGATCGGATAGTGCGATTTTTATGGCTGTATCAGAGTCGCCAACGCTGCTGCACTTCCCCAGAAATGGACTAGCGCCCTAAGTGGCGGCAACTGGTCGACATGAGCTGCGACTGCTTTGCCACAAAAGGGTATTCTCTCTGAATTGTGATTGCTCAGTTCAACGTCCGCCTTCATCATCGCATTTCAAGTCACCCGACATGTCGCAACAGACGACACGTTCTTTTACATACTTTTGATATCCAGCCTATTTCACAAACACAACAAAGGACACTTTAGTCCCGTACATCGTACGAACGAAGGCCGCAATCCCTGTTTGTATGTTCTGTTCGTCTGGTTGTTAATCGACTTGCACAAGGGCCCTGCTGGCCTCCGTCACGGATCTTGGCTGCGCTGCATGCATGACGAACAACGGAAGCGGCCGCCGGCATGACAGACATCGACAACTACCGGTACCGCGTACCGCGGCCAAACTACATACCTCACCATGTCGACGCCGAGCCCACCGTTGTTGAAGAGTACGAGCCGCTCGGAAGCGCCAGCGAGCTGGACAATGCGGCGTACCTCGCGAAAGTGAAGAAGGCGGCGCAGCAGTACGGCATCGTGCGCCCAAAGGGCTACAACGTCACGTTCCACACGAACCCAGAGATGGAGAAGCACCACTTTGGCCAAACGCACCCAATGAAGCCGTGGCGGTTGACGCTGTCCAAGAGTCTGATCATGTCCTACGGCATGCCTTTTGCGATGGACAACTACATTGCGCGCGCGGCCACCTTTGAAGAGCTAAACAGCTTTCACTCCGACGACTACCTGGACTACCTGGGTACGGTGCTGCCCGAACCGGTGCCGCGCGATCTCGATAGCACGAATCCGCCGGACCTCAAGTTCAACCTTGGCGGCTCGGACTGTCCGCTGTTTGAGGGTCTCTACGATTACTGCTCCATGTCTGCAGGTGGCTCGCTGGACGCAGCGCGTAAAGTGTGCAATCGCGAGGCCGACATCGCCATCAGCTGGGGTGGTGGCCTCCACCACGCCAAGAAGGCCGAGGCGTCTGGGTTCTGCTACATCAACGATATTGTGCTGGCGATCCTGCAGCTGTTGCGCTGCTATCCGCGCGTTCTGTACATTGACATTGATGTGCACCACGGCGACGGCGTGGAAGAGGCCTTTTTCTCAACAGACCGCGTCATGACGTGCTCTTTCCACAAGTACGACCCCATCAACTTCTTCCCGGGCACCGGTGCCCTCGACGACAACGGACCCAAAAACGAGTTCAATGCCGGCGCGCACCACGCGATCAATGTGCCGCTCAACGACGGCATCACGGACGAGCAATACGCCTGGCTGTTTGACAGCGTGATTAGCAAGATCGTTGAGACGTTCCGGCCAAGCGCGATTGCCCTGCAGTGCGGCGCCGACTCCCTCGCCGGCGACCGGCTGGGCCGCTTCAACCTGCAGGTACAGGGCCACGGGCAGTGCGTGGCGTTTTGCAAGAAGCTGGGCCTGCCCATGATTCTGTTTGGCGGCGGCGGCTACACGCCGCGCAACGTGGCGCGCGCGTGGTCGTGGGAGACGGCCATTGCGCTGCAGTGCGAGGACAAGATTGATCCGGTGATTCCGACGCACACGCCCTGGCGCGACCACTTCCGGCAAGAAGAGCTGCTGCCCACGCTCGAGCAGATTGTCGGCGAGCCGCGGCAGAACAAGAACCCCCAGAAACGCATCCAGGAGATCGTTCAGCACGTTCATGAGCAGCTGCGGTTTGTGCAGCATGCGCCTAGTGTACAAATGCGTGAGATCCCGCCAGACTTGGGCGGCATCCGCCAAGAGGTGGATGAGATGCTGCGCGAGGAGGCCGAGTCCAAGGACGAGACCCTACGCAAGACCAAGGAAGAGGGTCTTGGTGTTGCCATGGAGCATTAAAGGGGGGCATGGGGTTGTCTACCTAGCTTTTTGGTTACTCTTGTTTGTTTTTCTTATTTTGGGTTGGCTTTTCTAGCTTCTTTTTGATTTCGATTTTTTGAAACGGTGTTTGGGTGAGACGGCGTGGTTTTGCAAAAAAATGGCTCTTACTCGGTTTACGTTTAAAGATATTTATGTTTGGTTTCATATATAATTTGATTTTATCCCAAATTGCGCCTCTTCAAAAATGCACGCGATGTCGTAACGCCCAGGCGATGGAAAGTAACATAACGTAGATGGCAATATGCCACGACAACAACAAATAATAATAACAAAGGCAACATAACAGCGTGTGACAGATCCCATAACAATCTTTGAAGCTCTACCATATCCATCATTTCGCAAGGCCTCGTCCAGCTCGCTGCTAAAATCGAGCAGGTTTCTACTCGCTCAAAAAGGCATTCTCCGCCTCTTGCTCAAGCAGCTTGCGCTTAATGCCCCGTGACTGGACGCCTACGAAGGCGACGAGGAAAGTACCAATAATCAGACCCAGGACCAGCAGGATTATGTTGACGGGAACGGGATTGCCGTCGAAGACCTTATGGAAAAGGTAGTCGAGCCCCGATTGGGAGAAGTTGAAGAGACCCGACAGGCAGATGATGGTGCCGTAGACAGTGCCAAAGGTACGGAAGCCAAATACTTTGGCGCTGTAGTCGGAGACGGATGTGTAATAAAAGGGGCGGTACAACACAAAAAGACTGACGTTGGCGTAGGCGGCCCATGTCCTTGGGATGATACCAAAGACGCCAATGGTCGTGGCAACGACGGCGAGCACAGTCAGAACTGCGACGGTGCTGTTGTGGTCGAGGAAGATACCAATGAAAGGAATCGATATGAGGCCACCCAGCGGCAGGGCCAGGTCGAAAAAGTTATTGATGGCGACGGCGGCCTCGTGTGAGCCGAGCAGGGCCTCGTACTGCGGGCGGATGGTGGCGACAAAGTAGTTGATGCGCGTCATTTGCACGACGGTGAACAGGCAGATGAGAATAAACCAGGGCGAGCGGATCTGCTCGAGCGCACTGTTGCCGTGCATGGCGCCCCAGACGCCCGAAATCTCGTTCTTGGTCACCTCCCGGCTGGCCTGCTTGTCGGCACGCTCCGAGCCCAGCAGCTCTTCAATGTCGGCGACGACGGCCTCGCGATGGGCGCGCGCCTCTTCTTGGAGGAGCGCGGTATTCTCGTCGACTTGGTCGTCGCGGTACTGCTGGCTGGCCTGGTTGGTGGTGTGGCCCGTCAAATGCGGCCCCTCGAGGTCGCTCAAGAGCGGCGCGTCGATCTGCTCAATGAGCTCGCCCACGGTCTTGTAGGACTGGCGCGGCATCAGCGTGAGCTGCAGCACGACAATGACAACAGGCACGACGAGGTAGAGCAGGAAAAACTTTTGGTGGCCAAAGGCACCGTCGGCTTTTTCGAAGAGGATGCGGTATACCAAGAACAGCGCACTCGAGGCGTCAAAAGCGCCAGTTAGCAGGGCCAAGATGAGGCCCGAGTGGCGCGGGAAGGCGTTGGACAGCTGGAAACTCGAAATGTAGGTGAAGGGGCCACCGACGGCCAGCAGCAAATAGCCCAACAAGAAGCCATCAAAGGGCACATCGGCGGCATAGGCAAGCAGCAAAGCTCCGGCGCCCAAAAAGCCGGCGCCCATCAAACCGCAGACACGGGGGCCGTAGTGGTCGAGGATTGCACCAATGGGCAGGGCGGCGACATTGGTGCCAACAGCGGCGGTAGTGAACATAAAGTTGAGGTGGATCTCGACGCAAGTATCAATGTCGGCATCGGCGTCGGCGGCGGTCGCCAAGGAGGAGGCCCCAGCTGAGGCAACGCAGACATCCCGGTAGGCGCCTTCTTTTTTTAACACGGGCTTGATGGCGGCATAGCCAAAGACGATGCCCGAGGCAAGTAAGCAGTAGACCACAGTAGCAAAGACCTGGACAACGCGTTTCCACTTGGGCACCTCAAAGGCACCGACGGCCTGGATGTTGTCGGCACGCTCGTTAATGGGATCCCACTCGTCGGGCAGCGGGTTGAAGCTCAGCTTGCGGGAGCGGACGGAGATGGAGGCGTCGGAGGAGCGTCGAGAGTGCAGCCGGGAGCTCGATTCAGCCGGTACGAAGGAAAAGGACTCCAATGAAGCTACGCGGTTGAGAGACATGCTGGCTGGTTGGAACTGTCTCTGGCGTGGATGACAACGAGTCGAGGCGGCGGTCCGATGTATCGAGAGATGGACTTGATGCCGAGAAGGAGGAGGGGAGGAGGGGAGGAGGAGAGGAATGATAAATATCAGGGGACGGAAGGTACGGACAGTCTCCTCTGGAGGAGGTGAACAGGACCCAAAATACGAAGGAGGGAAGGAAGATATGAGGATAGGGAATGAAGTGGTAAGTGCGCCCGACGAGGCAGGAAGGGAAAGGGACAATGCAACAGAAGAAAAAAAAATCCCGGACGTCAGCAAAAGCTGTTCTTTTCTCAGAACCGACGTCCTCTCTCACCTACAAGCACTAAGTACTATCTAGCACTTGTGCCATGTGCAGTCTGTTCAGATAATCGCTTGAAGCACCAACAGTCACCTGGTTGTCCTTATTGCCTGCTAATCGTATACTGCAAATAGCAGCTCGTCTTAAGCTTGCTGTCACTCGCTCGATGACACGGGAAGAGGATAACGGCTTTGCTATCGTCAAACATTCATTTTCAGGGTCGTCTTGCGTCAATGAGGAGAAAGATAAGAGCTTCTGTATGTCTGGGCCGTTTTCCAAGACTTGAGCATAACCTCGAGTCTCTAGCGCGAACCGCGGACCAGATTAGGCGGCCAGTTCTCCACTCTAGCCCGTCGAGGCCACCACGACCTTGAAAATGCTGTCCTGGTATTGGCCGAAGATAATGGGCGGCCAATCCATATACGTAAAGATGCGAGAGATCTATGACGAGACATGGACTTTCCCCAGATCTGGATGCTCCCGCCTATCAATCCCACACATAGCATTTTGTCAACGGGAAACAGCCATGATATGTGATTTGTTGAGATCGAACACTCTTCACAATCAATATAATGCTTCTCTATTGCCGCGGAAATTTTGATTGATTTATTTGATTTCATTTTTCGTCATTTATTCTTTGATCTGGTTTGTGTGGTTGATATAGGCGACAAAACTCCCAGCGCTATTTTCGCAGTCATCAGCGCTGCTGCCAGCCTCGTCACTACGGTGTCATCCATAGAGTATTCCGCAGACAGCGTATACATCACAAGTCTTACTGTGCCGGTCCTCAGAGCGCCGCCCAATGCACCACGCGAACGTGAGAAGGAGACAAGGTTACTGTGGAGTACGTCGTACAGTCATCCACAGCCTTCAGAAGCAATATGAATATGTTTTGTCAACGTTCGTCTCTACCATTCATGTTGGCTTTAATGCAACGAGGCTGCACTAAGGTAGGATGCTTTTTATGACTGAGACATACGCGACCTGTGATTTTCATCAACGCAGCCAACGTAATCCAGATTTCGAATTAAATGCGCACATTTTACTTTCGCTGGCGCCACGCTGCTGGCTGAACGACCGAACGGCCGAAGCTTCTTTCCAAACCACGGCATATACAGAGCAACAGTTGGTCCTGCCTAATTTATGTGATGAATGACTGTAAATCGTGACTGCCCGATGCGGGAATGCTCAGTCATCAAGTCGTTATGAACGGACAAAGGAAGGGACCACCTTAGTGCCTTCTACATTTAGCATCGTAAACATTGAAAAAGGGGCACGTTTTTTCCCATCTCCTTCCCTCTTCTTGAAAGTTTCCTCTTACTTCCATCTTTGCTTTCAATTCTCCGACATCGACGTCGGAATTTTCACTCCTCACTTTCATGAAGTTGTGTGGACAATGTGGTCTCCATTCTGCAACAATACGCACACCTAGACAAATTTACTGGTAGGCTTAGCGGCACTGTCCGACTACGGTCGCGGACTCGAAATCCAGCCTTTCGTCATTTACAAAACGCTCACCACTACAGATCTACCGAAACGTCGGCATCATCCCGACTGAAATGGACATTTCCAATGAAAATGCGAATGAAAGGTCTGAATAGCTTCTGGATACTCTTCAAGCTAAAAGGCAGGCCACTAGTCGGCGTCCTCACCAGCGACATTGACATGGCAATCCCCATGTTGGCCTCAGCTCGTTGATGTGCGCCACAGGCCGGGCTGCAGAGTGGACACAACGGCATTAATACGGCTCCCATTGCGCGCCAGCAATGGAAGTATGTCATCCAGGTGTCGAGTCCACATGCCAGTGTCATTATCGCTTTGTGTGACATTAGCCGGGCAAGAGCAAGGAGCTGGGTCCTTTGCAGGGAAGTTACAATACAATGGGGACAGCAAAGCTATCACGACGGTAGCCGCCCTGTCTCCATTGACGACAGCTGTATCCTCTGTGCTGTCCTACTATTATACTGAAATTGCCTCGAAAAGAAGCTACAATGGCTCTTGATGCGCATTTTCTTCGAGATCGGCATTGACTAACCCGGGCGCCAAAGCTAGGCATCGTTCTCTTCAAGCGTGCTGCTCTGGAGGAAATTGTATGGTTGACCAGCACGGACGTCTTATGTGGACTCTCTCAAACGGTACAGCGCTGGTAGTCTTGAGCAGGGAGTGGAAATCAGGCAGACAGAGAGAGGCCTTTAGCTGCCGGTCTTGTTAGCATGGACAGCTTGCCAATCTCACGACTCCAAGACTAGAAAGTCAAAAGCGGAAGCCAATCACAATCCAATGCACATTGCCTGGGCTTGTCCACTCTTGCAAGCGCCCACGCTACAGCCCGAGCGACAAAGGACTGGTCAAGCCAACGCAAAACCCCGGCCTTCATTTCGCTGTGGTTCTGGTCACCCTCACGTTTCCTCCTCCACTACTGTGGTGCCATCCGTTTCGTTCTGCATCGTAAGCGCCCAGCTCAAACAGCCAATCAACTACCTTCGAACCAGGTCTTCCCGCCAAGCATGGACGATGGGATGTTGTGCCCAGCGGGAGGACGGGTGCAAGAAAGACAAGAACACACAGCCCAACTCGATACAGGTGGCCTCTTCGTCTGGCTTCATAGTGCCCCATATGGCCTCGTCATAACTGATGTCCTACGGAACCCTGGGCGGCTAGAGTGAATGTTTGGGGAGGTCAAGCAGCGGAAGCCAAAAATTGCCCTTCAGCTTTTTCTGCTCTTCGCACCATCATTGCCGCCGCTAAACTTGCCTAGTAGACGGCTGAACCCTCGACCCTCCCTATCTTGTCCTGGTTAAACCCCCCTGACGTGCGGTTGGAGCTATCCCACGGTGTTTTCTTTATTGACGTTCCACTCACTACCCCCCTTTCCCTTTCCGCCCCCTCCTTTCGATCCCGGCTCCTTCGCAGCATTGCCTGGCCGCCCATCTGGCCGCATATCGATCCCACCGCGTCCAGCTTTTTGGCGTTTTTATTTTCTGTCTTTCTTAGTTTCCTTACATCTCATTGTGAACCTCGTTTGTCTTGTTCAACTTTGGAAATCTTGAAAGTTTCTCTGCATAGAAGCTCGTGTTTTGTTTATTTTCGCCGATTTCAAACGTCACGTACCTTTGTGTCACAGCCTGGCCTAACTTCCACAACTCGGAAACGACCCACTGTCAGCCTGGTGCTTTGCGCGCACTTCTCGTCCCCTCCCCGTCCTCCCCCTCCATTGCCCAACCTTCACCAGTTGCGCAAGAGTTCAACAGACGCAGTAAACCGTGCAGCTTCATCATCCAGGGAAGTGCAGGAGAAAAAGCAGAATAAAGGGGGAAAAGTTAGGAAAGGAAAGCAGAGACTCTGTCCCTTGATTTCTCAACATCGTCCACGTCATGGCAGAACGATCGCGTGGCATCCCTGATTCTGAGCTCTTCATGAGCCGGCCTTCAGATGACTGCGACAGCCCAACTGTTGAGCCGTTGCGAATTTTTAAACCACAGAGCCCAAACCCTTACTCCGCTACAAGTGCCGGTGGCGGCGACTTCTCCGGATCGGAGCGTTTCAGATACCCGCCGCCGCCAGGAAGCACTTCTTCGGCTAGCCCGGCTACTGCGCCTGTCGCCTCGCGGCCGTCGTTTCCTCTACCGCCAGGTGCATCAAGCTCTGCCAATCCTCTCCCATACCCCGTCGACGATGACCCGATTATCCCGCAGGCAGCATCCAATGTCCACAAGCCCCGTCCCCCATACCCCGACGGGCGGCCTCACATCAACACAAACACCACGGGCAGCAACTACAATGACACATACAATGACACGTCGCCGCGACTGGGAATGAGTCCCGTCAGTGGCAAGAAACCGGGCTTGGCCGAGCGGCGGGGCAACATCCCCACGTCTTTGTCTCCTTCAAGCCCGACCGACAACGACGACTTCTTTGCCAAGCCTATTTCGCAACCTGCAGCACGGCCATCGCAGCAACAGCAGCAGCAGCAACAGAAACCAGCTGTCGCCAGCTACCCACCCAAGTCCTACTATCACCCTCCTCCCAACGGTTCCACTGCCTCTTCAACTACCTCGTCTTCCTCGGGCGGTGCCGGCGTTTTGGCTACTGCTGCCCCCCCGGACCATGTCAATCCATACCGGCCGGCGCGGGCCGGTTCTGACACGCTCAAACCTGTACAGCTGAGCGACTCGCCCAGTGGTAACAGCGGTGGCGGTGGCATGAACCGATTCGCTTCAACGGCATCTACTTCAACAACTCGGGCTAGCCGTGGATCGCCTCCGCCGCCAGAGACGCCCATTGTAGAGCCGGGCAGCATTCCTAGCAGCGACATCGAGGCCCGCTATGCGGCTGCTGGGATCTCCGGCACGGCAACCCTAAGCAGCTTTCAAACCCCGAGTGCGGCTGCAGCCCAACGTCTGGCGCAATACGGCAGCCCGCCAACTCATGCCCAGCAACAAGCCGCAGCACCGCGTCCATGGACCCCAACCGAGCAGCCTGACAATCAGCCTCATGGTCCGCCCACGGTCTACCAGGGCACCAACCCGGTCCAAAACCCACCACCACCGAGCAGCACTTCCACTGCTGGTGCACAGCAGCAGCTCCCCTGGCACCCAGCATTTTCTGGTGCGGCCAGTGCCGGTGCTGGCACTGGAGCTGCGGCTGCAGCTGCTGCTTCATCTCCTGCACCACCTGGTTCCACGTCAGCCGCAGCCAGTAACGCCAACTCGGCCAACCCCAGTCTCCAGGTTAGCGTCTTAGAGCAAGACTTCCAGCGCATGCAGGCATCCACACCACCTCCGGCGTACACGAGCGTCAACCCCAGTGGAGCCGCTTCTGGCTACCCCAAGGAGAAACAGCAACAGGGTGCGGCGGCCAATATCCCGGCTTCGGGTCAGCCCCAAAGTCAACCTCAAGGTCAGGCTCAACCGGCTCAGCAGAACCTGGGCCAACACCCGGCACTGTCAGGTGGCTATGCCCAACAGCCCCCAGCGGTATCGAACTCGGCTGCCGCTGCTATGGCGGCCGCCACTGCTGCTGCGGGATTCGCCACGGTGAACCAGCCCGGTCAACCCCAGCAATCACAACAGCTGCCACAACAGCAGCCGACGACTGCTGCTGCAACTGTCCCTCACCATCCATACGGAAACGAAAAGGCATCTGCCGCTGGTGCTGCCGCTGGCAATCCTTTGGCCTCTCCTGTGGGCATGAACGCGAACCATCCCGCCTTTGCCAATGATCAGCGGCCGGAGAGCGTCTTATCCAACGGTGGTAAGCCACCTTTGTCCCACTCCTTGTCTGTGCAAAGCCCGGTTTCGCCGCCGCCGCTGCCCGAGGGCTGGATCTCGCACCTGGACCAGAACTCCGGCCAGTACTACTACATCCACCTGGCCACGCAGGCAACGCAGTGGGAGTTCCCCAAAGGTCCGACGCCGCTCAACCATGATGCTACACCGCTCTCGCCAGCCACCTCTACATACGGTAATCCATTGGGCTCGCCGTTCATGAAGCAGTCGTTGGCCTCGCCCATGTACCCGCCCACGCCTGGCTACGCTGAAAGCATTACGAGTATGGCCAATTCCACGGCAACCGGATTCATGGGTCCTCCACCCAGTGCCGGTGTCGACATGTACAAGATCTCACCCACCAACGGCGTGTACTTTGGCCCCTACCTACGTTACGTGAACATGGATGTCGAGAAGGGTATCTGGCTTGGTAGCATTATGATTGTGACCGACGGGCCCCAGCCGCCGACGATTCACATCCACCAGAGCGTCGACCTGTCGCCAAACCCGCGGCAGCTCATCCCCTACACCATATACACGCACCAGCGCTGGAACTTCTACAAGTACGACATTGACCTGCAGATGAGCGAGGCTGGAACTGAGCGCTGGACGTATGCCGTGACATCGCACCTCGGTTGCACGCGCTACGAGTTCGTTGTTGCCGGACGTCACGAACAAGGGTGGCGCTTCCTGGCCCACTCGGGCAATGACTTCTCCCCTCTGACGTCGCAGGCCGACCGCAACAAGCTGGGCGGTGTTGACTTTATGTGGAAGGATGTGCTACAGAAGAACGTTGAGTGTGGTGGTTTTCACGTACAGCTGGGTCTGGGTGACCAGATCTACGCAGACCGCTTGTGGCGCGAGGTACCTTTGCTACAACAGTGGCTGGCCATCTCGGGCCGCGAGAACCGCAAGAATGTGCAGTGGACGGCACGGCACGAGGAGGACACGACACATGCGTACTTCCACTACTACACGTCACACTTTGACCAGCCGTTCCTGCGCGAGGCCTTTGCACAAATCCCGCACGTGCTGCAGGTCAACGACCACGACATCTTTGATGGCTTCGGCTCATACCCTGCCTATATGCAACAGACAGCCATTTTTAAGAACATTGGTCGTATCGCCATCGAAATGTACCTGCTGTTCCAGCACCACACAACCATTGAGATCCTGCGCAACGTTCACACAGACCAAGACCTCTTCACAATTACGGGCGCTGGTTGGCACTTCGTCAAGTACCTGGGTCCGGCCATGGTTGTTATCGGCCCCGACTGCCGCTCGGAGCGTACGCAAACGCGTGTGCTTGCTGGTCCCACATACCAGGGTCTGTTCCCCAAGGTTGCGCTGCTGCCACCTAGTGTGCAGCACTGCATCTGGATGGTCTCTGTGCCCGTCGTCTACCCGCGCATGGAGACCGTCGAAACGCTGGCCAACACTCTGCAGACGGGCAAGAAGGCTGTCAACACGACGTATAACCTGCTGGGCAAGGTCACCAGCTCCGTAGCGGGTGTTGTGGGCGGCAAGGAGGTCGTCCAGCAGGGCTTCACGTCCGTGAAGAAGGCCATTGGCAAGTCCGGACTGATGGGCAACTATCTCAACAACTTTGGCGACATTGGCATCTCGGAGGAGCTCCGCGACCTCTGGACGCACGAGTCCAAGGATTTGGAGCGCACGTACCTGATTCGCACGCTGCAGGGTATTGCCCAGCAAAAGGGCATTCGCATGACGTTCTTGTCGGGCGACGTGCACTGCGGTGGCGCCGGGCTCGTACACGATCCGTCGCACCCTTCGGACCACAAGACCATGTACCAGCTGATCACGTCGCCTGTCGTGGGTGCGCCCTCAAGCAACTACTTGCTGAAAATGCTGCACAACAACAAGTTGCTGTACGTGCCGCTCAACGGGCACATGTCCACCAACGAGGTGTCGGACACCAAGGAGGACATGATGGAGATCTTCCAGGTCGATGCGTCGGGCCAGCCGCGCGAGTACAAGAAGCTCATGAACCGCCGCAACTACCTCGCCGTTGTTGCGTTCGACCCGGAGGCCATTGCCGGCACCACCTATGCGGCCAGCATCGTCAACGGGCAACAGGGTCTCAGCAAGCTCAGCCTAGCCGTTGACTACGTCGTGCAGGGCGATGGCGGCAGCGTGCCGACAAAGTACGGACCTGTTATTGTGCCACACCTCGAGTTTGGCCACTGAGGGATGGATAAGGAGGTGCTGGATGCAAAGCAGCTGTGCTTGGATTTTAGTTTTGGATTTCATTTTGGATGTCTGTCCTTTTTGTCTGTTTGCTGGCCTGATCCTTTTTTCTATCTACGCGTCGCTTGTTTGTGTGTCTTTGCGAGATGTTGGCTTTCAATTTATTTCGTCGTTCAATGATATTTCTCCACTTTCACTCATGCTTTCCAATTACGGTTCGCAAAGATTGATCGTCACGCCTGTCATTTGTTTTGTTTATATATAAATACCTTTCACATTAAATAGAACGTCTAGTGCTTTTGGCCATGTCCGTCCTCGCTCGTTAATTTTTTTGTATCTATCGCCAAAAGCAAGCCGCTTGCTCCCCTTACAGGTCAAACAGCTTCTTGAGCTCGTCGATGGTGTCCTGGGGGTTGGTGACCGAGTGGCCGGTGGTGCGCTTGTCGGTGTAGATCTCGTAGTCGTTACCACCCTCGAACGTCTTGTCGCCAAAGAAGTGCACGGTGGTGTACTCGATGCCGCCGGGCTTCTTGGCGTCTTCCTCCAGGTGCCGCAGGCAGTACGTCTTGTCCCAGCCGGTGGGGAACACGTCAAAGGAGATCTGGCCACCGATGGAGAAGGTCAGGCCGTGATGGCCAAACTTGTCGCGCAGCGCCTCCACAAAGGCCTTGCGCACGCCGGCCGTCTTGTCGTAGGCCTCAAAGGCCAGACGCTCCTCGGTGGTGGCGTTACGGCCGATGGGGCTGATGTTGACCATGCCGTTGCGGAACTCGACAAAGGTGCCGCGCTTGATGGGGATGTCGAGGTCGGCCACGTAGTGCAGGACAAACTTGACAAACTCCTTGTAGCGGTCCTCGCCGAACCACTTGATGAAGCTGTTGGAGGGCAGGCTCTTGCCGGACTTGAAGGCGGTCAGGCCGTTCTCAGAGAAGGCAAAGTCGAAGAGGTCGGTGACGGGCACGTCGGGGGTGCTGAGCTGCTCCTGCTGCTTGGCGAGGTCACTGCCGCCGACGAAGCCAATGGCGACCTTCTCACGGAGGCGGTGGAGGATGTCGAGCATCTCCTTGGAGGCGTGCTAGGACCCGGAAACGGCGTTAGTATGTCAAGAGACCTGGGGGGGAAGGGACATTCTCGAGAGTCTGTGGGCGCAGGTCAGGACTCACCAGACGCGCCGGTGTCAGGGTGCCGTCGACATCGAACAGAACAACGGTGTTCTTGATCGGGCGCTCGGCGAGCGGGGGGTAGCTGCTGGCATCAGGCATTGTGGCTGTTTGTGACGTGTGTGGTGGTGAAATGTGAGGATGGGGAGGAACAGAAAGGTTGATGTTGTTATTTGAGTGGAGAGATGCGGTCAATCGAGAAAAGGAGGAGTCGAGCGAAGAGACAAGAAAAGAGGGGAGCTGTGGTCTCGGCCCTTTATACGACGTATAGAAAGTGGAGATGGGAGGAGACAGCAATGAAAGGGGAAGCTACAATGGGAGGAGAAAGTGTTGACACAAAGTCAAGAAGGAGCGGTCAGGGAGCAATTGGAGGTGATGTGTCTGAATTGGGACAGCTTCGCTGATCAGAAAAATAACAATGCTACCCAAGAAAGGAAACCACGAAATCAGAAAGGTCAATGGACAAGGCAAGCACAAACCATGTACAACCACCTCTGTACGAAGTACGTTCCGCCTCATTCTCTCTGCTCAGTAGGAAGGGCGAGCGAGGGGCGCTGACTTGCCCCGCCACGTGGGGAATGTTCAGGGCTGTTTGCGGCCAGAAGGTCTTATCTTATCGCGCAATGGAGCCCCTGTTTTTGAGTGCTGCAAATGAACACAAAAGAGCTTGCTTCTTATTACAGCGGGGCCAATCACAAGCTTCCAGGGAGCTGTTCGTTTCAAAACAAAAAACATGGGATCATCACGGCAGTGCAATTCTGTTGCATCGCGGGCCGTGAGGCGGCCACGTTTCAGGAACGTATTTAATAGACATCGGACGTTTTTAAAAACATTTAATTACGTTGGCATTGGTTTCTGCGTCACATCATAGCCTTGTTAAAGGACAGTGTCCATCTTTGATGCTAGCTGCTTCGTTCACGTCATCGACAATTAGGTGAAAGAGGACACGGTTGTTTCTTCGTGAGCGACCATGTGAGCTGCTGCGCCTTCTTCCCCATGCCAATTGCAATTTCAATTTCACCAAGTCGTGTCCTTCGTCAATTTGCGTCGGGCATTTTGAAATTGGATACTCGGCTTGAGTCATCAGTGTCTTTTGCTAAAATGATTGTTGCCCAAGAAACCAAGCAAAAGAGGCGGTTTGAAGACGTCACAATGTTGCAAAATAGTAAGATGAAATTTCCGAAATGCTCAGCCTCGCCGAAAAGAACAGAGTGTCTCGACTTCCGCGAGGCTGACGGTCGTTGGCTGTCAGGGTCATGGAGGTATCATCCGGTAGCCTTGCATATGATTTTTCGAGACTTTATTTATCTTCAATAATAGCCGCTTACTTTATATTTCTTTTAATTTTAGTGGCTCCTTTTGGAACGAAACCAATTAAAATTCTGAAAATATTTTCATTTTCATCAAAACAAAACGCAACACAGTTAATAGAAAGTTATTCAAGAAGTCAACCTCTCCAACATAGAAACCCACAGATTCCTCAATGTCGACAACCTCCCTCCCTACCATATAAATGCGGTGCCGGCTCTAGACCAGTGACCCCAGCAAAAGCTCTCGGCAAGCAGGCAAGTTATGAATTATACGGACCGGTTGAGAATGACGCGACTGCTATTATATGGAATCGGATATAAGTACGGTAAAAAGAAGGACAAGGATAACATACCGCTAATATCTGACGGTGCAAGGCCTTCTGGATTGATAAAACCTCTACGGAGTACGGACGTAATTCCCTGCTTGATATGAGTTTTTGGCATTCACAGCTTAGGCGCGGCCACATGCTTTAAGTCACACACATTTGTGTCACGTATATATTGAAGACGATGGACTCTCTTTTATAATACGAGGTATATTGCTTTAGACGCTTTCACTCAACACTAGAGACCATAATGTCCTTGACGAGATGCTTAGTAGTTGTTGTCGTTGTTGTCGTTGCTGTTGTTGTTGTTCGAACCGTAGTTGTCCGAGTTGTTGTTGGAGCCAAAGTTGTCCGAGTTGGAGTTGTTGTTGGAGCCGTAGTTGTCCGAGTTGTTGTTGTTGTTGTTGTTGCGGCCAAAGTTGTCCGAGTTGGAGTTCGAGTTGTTGTTGGAGCTGAAGTTGTCGTTGTTGTTGTTGCTCGAGTTGTTGTTGTTGTTGCCGCCGAAGTTGCTGCTACTGTTGTTGTTGTTGTTGTTGTTGTTGTTGTTGTTGTTGTTGTTGTTGTCGTTGTTGGTGTTGTTGGTGTTGTTGGTGTTGTTGGTGTTGTTGTTGGTGTTGTTGTTGTTGCTGTTGTTGTTGTTACTGTTGTTGCTGCTGCCGTGGCCAGAAAAGCCTGCGGCAATGTTCTTGCCAATGCCGACCAGGTCGCTCTTGTTGGACTCGGAGTTGTACGCCGTGGCGGCGTCCTTGACAACGTTACCGAGCTGCTTGTAGTCGAGGTTGCCCTTGGACTCGTAGTCGCTGTAGGCCTGCTTGGCGGCCTGGCCAACTTCACCCCAATTGCCGGAGCCAGAGTTGTTGTTGTCACCACCGTTGTTGTTGTTGTTGTTGTTGTTGTTGTTGTTATCGTCCGAGTTGCCCTTGAGGGCGCTCTCGGCCATGGAGGTGATCTTGGAGAAATCCATTGTGAATGAGTGTGAAATTGGGAGCGATAACTTGAAGGAGGGTAGAGAGTGTGTGGTCCGGTTCAGTGTTTGGAGTGGAAAAGTGAAGATATGCTGTGGGATAGAGAATAAAACGAAGAGTCACGATGACCTCGTCCTAGGCCGGGACAAGGAGCTCTTCTTATATATGCGAGTACCTCACACGTCCTCTGACATAGCTCATCCCTCATCCCTCATCCCCCCTACTCGCTGTCATGAGCTTGGCCCCCTCCATCCTTTCTTTTCCCCATCCACCTAACACAGTCTTCAACCCTCCACCAACCACCCTGCCGCTCTCTTTTGCTTCTCATCTCATCCTCTGTCCGTCTTCTGCCTCTTTCGGCCACGCCGTCGGGCGCGCTTGCTACCTTTGGAGAGGCGAAGGACGCACGCCAAAAATGACAAAAAAGGGCTGGGATCTCCACCGTTGAGAGTCTTCTGGTGTCTTCTGGCGGCTATCACACTTGCGGGCACACTTGCACCTGCACTTTCGCACTTGCACCCCCCCAAGGCCAGGCCTCATGCACGACAACATATCCACACACACACACACATCACTCACGCCTTCTTGTAGCCTCGAAACCCCTACCATTCGTCCATGTACTACTTTCTCCTTTACCCTCTTATGTCTTGGTCGCCGTCGTTAGCTTCTTGTCTCTGCCCCGTCTCTTTTCCCTCCGCGTCTCTCGGCTACCCCTCCACGGAGGCTGGCGGGACTCGCTCTCGCGGTTTTTTTCCCTTTCACGCATGCGATCGAGATGCACTACCTCATCGCCTCATCCATGCCTCGTAAGGATAAAAAAAAGGTTCTCAACTCCTTCCCTCGGCGCGGCGTACACTGCTAGCCTAGGCCGTGTTTTCCACCACTGGACATGGGGCGTTCCTGGACCCTGTTGAGCTGTCGTCATGCCACTTGGCGCCATAACCTTTTTCCATCGTTCACTCTTTGACTTTGGTCTTATTATTGATATTGATGTTGTTTCCGTGATAAGTGACACCTTCGCCACCCTACCTTGCTTTCTGCGGGCAACCCTGCTTCTCAAATTGGGCCTCCACTTTGCAGAATGCATTTTTCAGCTTTGCTTGTCCTTCCCTGCGGCTGAAGCGTAGGTTTGTTGCGGGAAACACGGAACACTGAGCGCACAATCGTACGACGTAGCCGTGAGAAGCAACATGGCAGTGTGCTTACTTCCCCCAGATAGTGGGTGACTGACAAACGAATACCGTTTCAGCGCAAATGGTTCCTGGGAGTAATTTGTGTTATTTCCTCAGGAGGATAGGCCACTAGTGGAGGGCCTTTCTCTTTAGCTCTCCGGTTTGGTAGGGTCTGGCGTTGTGGTCTGGTGCCGGTCGTGTACTTTTGGCGCGGGAGCGACCCCCTCTGCCCCTCTATTATTTCATCTGGACGATCGCAGGAGCTCGGGGTCCATGGTCGTATTGTGACCGGACGAGGGGCACAGAGAACAGGGGATCGTAGCTGAGCACCTGTGGCTTTGGAGCTGGCTCTGGCCCGGTCGTCCCATTCTTCACTTTTCATAAAACGACGTCCACATGGGTCGTGTTAGTGGCTCTGTAGCCCAGCGCTTGGGCTGGAGCTAGCGGACTGGGTCAGGGGACCTTTACGACGATGCTGCGATGTATCTTGGGTTTCGCTATTGGGGATCGTTTGATGCTTGTGGGAGGAAGAGGGGTCATGACATGTCGAGTAGCACGCCGAAATCACGGCGCCGGCCACTCTTGCTTGCATCTTTTGTATGCATGCGTACGCGTCAAGGGCGATCTCTGTTTCGCGCAGCGTTCTCATTTGGTATCACTCTTCTCGAGTCTTGTCCTGTTCTTAACGACGGCCCAGAGCACTTCATGGGCATGGACGTGGCTGGACAACGGCGACACGTAAACATCAAAAGGAGGGGCGGATGGGGGGCACATCGCCGAGACAAGTCGAGCCAGAGGGTCGAGCTCTGTATCCGGTTTAGCCCGGGACAAGCTAGCTGAAAATGCGAGATTTGGGTTGGAAGTGGAATACTGCGTTTGGGCAGGCGGCCCTCCCAAACAGAGTTTTGTTGTTATTTGGAGCTTTGGGCTTGCATGGCGGGGCTGTGGGCTGTGCAAACAAGACATGAACAGAGGAAACGCCGACAAATTGGTCTCAACGCTATCATGGATTTGTCCTGGCGTGGGTTCGATGTGCTGATTGTCGGAGATGCTTTCGAAGCGAGGCAGCCCATCATTTCCTATTTCTGAGGAGACAA